AAGTGCCATTGCTATGTGACTAAGGGATTTGTAAGTAATTGATTTTAAGATGTCATCAGAGTGGAAGTGACTTGTTATAAGAAATATAATAAAATTCGAGTGGGAATCAAGTGGCAAATGCAGTGTTATGATGAAACACACAGGAGCAGACACTTAGATTTTAAGGGAACCTTATTTTCCACACTGGCCCAAAAGAGAAGGTACAGTTTTTCAGGTTTCAAAAACACAATAAAGTCTTGTTTCTTTCCTAGCAGAATTTATTCTGGAGGCATTTTTGTAACCCAAAGCCCTTGTATATCAAAGCAAATTTCTCAAGAATAAATGATTGGAACATGTAATTTATTCTACAACTCAAAAGTATTTATGTAAAATTATTGCACTACTATAATAATGAGGAAGTATAAACTAAAAAGAAAATAAGCAAATTCATCTGAATTTATTTTTGAGAGTCTTCTTGTGTGGTGTGAGGGAGATGAGAAAGTTAACTTTTTAGGACAACTTTCCCTATCAGTGAAGGAATCACAGCTATCTACTGGATCAAGGGAATCTTTCTCTTTGTGCGTTTTAATAAGGAAACTATCCAATGTCATTTATTTTTACTCATTTTTGAGAATTTGGTGGAAATATGACTCTGCATTGTTAAACAAATTGACTGATTGCCCTTCTGTAGTCTTGGGTGGTTCCTTTCTACAAAATTGTGTACTATGTGCTGTTTTACACAATTCTCTAATCTTACTTATAGTGAGAGAATCCTGTGGCTTTCTGTCCTGCAGACATGATCTCCTCCACAGAGAGAGAGAGAGAGAGAGAGAGAGAGAGAGAGAGAGAGAGACAGAGAGAGAAAGAGAGAGAGAGAGAGAGAGAGAGAGAAAGATACAGAGACAGAGAGACATAGAGAAACAAACCATAGGCTCAGTTGTGATAATGTGACATTTGAGGTTACATGCCACTCATATGGCAAGCTATGCCTCATTCATCAAGTTAACATTTATTACATGTTTGCTCATCTTGCAGAGCACTTGTAGAACAAGTTACAATTTAAGGTTTTCCTGCATTCTTGTCTGGTTTCCATAAAAGATGACAAGTGAGGATCCAACACTGAGTTGGGATATTTTCTTTAAAGCCCTCAGGGCCCTTTTGGCTGGATATTGTCAGCTCATTAGCTCAATGTGATGTGTTTCCTGTACTTCCCCCCTAGGCCAAGGCCATGTAGCCAACCTAACCAAATATTAAAATGATCTTCCAAATTGTAATACTATTACTAATCTACAAGGAGACAGAAAGAAGTAATGACAGCTGAGTGTAGAATGTGATTATGCATTAAATTTCTGATGGTGAGGAGAAGTACAAAAAAGGCATTTCCTGGGACAGCTAGAGAACACTGTACATAGATTGATTATTAGGCTGGTGCTGGTGTCTTGTCAATGTTCAGTTTTTTGGTTAGATAATTCCACAGTCATTTTGTGAAATAATGATATTATTCATAGAAACTGTATTAATCATTTTTGGCTAAAACTACATGAAACTTACAAGTGTGTCTCAAAGGAAAAATGTATCAGTATCAAAAATGGGGACAATAAAATCAAGTGAGAAAAATATTAATAATTAGAAAATAAAAATATACAGTTCATTATCCCATCTTCCTTAACAGCTTGAGATTACTTTAAAAGAAAATAATGCAAAATCAGCTTACATTGGAAATCCATTGTTAAAAATATTTAGTTCATTTTTCTAGGGCCAATGAGCCTTTAAAGGTTTTGACCAAAAGGAGACAAACGCAAGTCCTAAAATGTTGATGAAATCACTTCAGAGCAGCACCATGTCAGTCGTGAATAAAAATTTCCATAAATTGGAATGTGCATTTGAACAGAAATCTAAATTCTTGTGAAGCTATTACTCACATAATGCCAAAGTAAATGTTCAAAAAGTATCCCTGTTTCTTTAGTGTTGCTATTTTTTGAAGTGGTAATATTGACTTTTTAATGATTTGAGAATCATCATTTATGTTTATGGGTAAGATTATTTTTCTTGGGGATAATCTCATTACCCAGAAGTCAAAGGCCATCTAAAATTCTTGGGATAGGTGTGTGATTTCCTCACAGAAAGCTCTGTGGTGTTCACAGAGGTGTTTTCTTAACTCTCCCAGAACGATAGAGTGATACTCAGCTGTTTTCCCTCACTTGGGTCTTGACTAAGGTGTTGTTTTGTGAAATGTCACAGTCCTGGTGAGCTACAACACAAAGCTTTCATGGTGTCCAACAGACACTGAACTTAGGTTTCAGTTCTAAGTAACTAAGGAACTTAGTTACTGTAGAAGAAAATGAGTGCAGCAGAAAATGCACCCCACCCACCCACAGCCAGTGAACTTCAGTTTCTTAGTTGCTCAGGTAAAAGTTCCTGTTACAGTTCCTGTACTGCAGTCTCCTAGAAAGTGCTGGTCACTGTGATGCATGTTATAAGAATCAGTCAAAGACAGCAAAGTGCTCTCTGCCTTGGTATTCCCCTTTTCAACCCATTAAAACCTCCCTTTCTAGGCATTTGAGGCTTGACATTTAGAGGGACAATTGATTCTGTCACTGTCTGTGAAGGTAAAATTAATCTAACTCCAAATTCTTGATGTCGTTTCAGTGTTTCTGTTCCTGTTGCACTATCAATTCTGAATCTTCTTCCTATGTGTGATTCCTATTGCGGAATCAAAATGAAAAGCTCAAATGCATCTTCAGAGATAAAAATCACAAAATAAAGATAGAAATTCTTTTGAGTTCATTATTTTCTCTTGGATTAGATGAAAAAATGACTAAAATTATCTACCATGTTTTGACTGTATTTGAGTCAAAGTCAAGAATTTGACTACCTAGTTTGCATCATCTATTTAAAAAGAAATCCAGAAGTATGTGATCAGAAGAAGAGCAAGAGAGAAGAGAAAGAGAGAGAAAGAGAGAGAGAGAGAGACAGAGACAGAGACAGAGACAGAGACAGAGAGACAGAGAGAGGCTTACTATAGTGGAAATTTGAGAATCTGGGTCTGAAACCTGATTTTGTTCCTACCTAAAACAGTGAATTCAATTCTCTGTTGCTTAGTTTGATATTTTTGAAGATGAATATATTTTCCACCATGTGGAGTTAAAAAAAATGAGATCATGTTTGGATTGCAAATTATATGGACTAATAAGCTACTCCTTAATTTTTCAAGGTTTTAAGAATTTTTGCATTATGACTTTCATACAAGTAATGCATTGCAAATAATTTCCAGAAGCTCAGGAGAAACTAATATATAAGAGGTATTTTCAGGTAAATCCTATAATGTATTATTCTTAAAAAGGGAATTTAATTTTTAGGTGTTTAAACTTGCTTTTGGTTTTTGTCTTACCCTGATTTTGGTCTTTGTATTTAACCATCTGTTACACATTAAGATGTGATAGGATGCCATCATGATATGAACTTGTCTATCTAATTTGTTTGCAGTGTATTAAACATATATTTTAAAAATGTAGGCACTGTCTGGTTTCAGGGAGACAGTCTTCCTCTGTATATGGACATTAGTCCTTCTTAATATCCAAAAACCTTTTAGTTGTCCCTAAAATTCAGGCTTCTCCAGTGTGCAATAATTGTAAATATATCCAGGTCTCACAAAATGATATACTTGCAAAAGTGTAGTCCTAAGTTTGAGGAACTCTTGAACTGCAGGTGAAATTTTTTCTGGTCTAAGAAACCTATGACTTTCATTCATTGTATGTTTCTATACTTGACAGTAGTTGCTGTCCTTCTGTCTCAGAATCAGTGTCAATAACTAATGTATCAATATAAAATGATCAACTGCTTACATAATGAAAATACTTACTATAAAGTTCACTCAGTTTAGATTTTCAGTTGCTGAACAAAGAACGTTTTCAAATATGTACAGGAATGTGCAAAGATTCTCTCTACTGTACTGGGGCCTAAGTGACTTCCTGCACAGGAGCTCAACAGCAGAGTAAGAAGCCTTTAATATAAGCATATAATGGAAGCACAGGGTGGTGAGCTTTCATGCAGAAAGCATTTTTCCCAGATGCTCCTTTTCAGTCTTCAGATGTCTTCCTAGAAAAGTAAGTGCTGCCTCTTGCAAAGAATAGCACCTTCTGATATAGTTTCTTACTGTTTGTTGGTATTAAATGTGGAGGGGTAGGAGGGAGGCACTCTCCCTGCTAAAATAAATTGGGAAAAATTTATGGTAAAAAAAGTCAAAGATGTCATGGTATACAGTAGAACCTACATTATGGTACTATGTATAATGTGAAGTTTCAGAGGAACATACATTGTATAGAATGTCTGCGTTTATTCAATGAAACACATCCTCAGAGACCATGGTGTAAAATCTCTTTTTCTTTTATTTACTGTAAATTTGATCGCTGTTAAATTTAATGACTACTAAAATTTCCTTCACAAAGCCATCCTCACACCTTCAGTTAGAAGTCACCATGAGTGCTGTGATGTGCTGCTGTACTCTGAGAGCTTTGAGAGTCCACACTTTTAAGGTGGAATAGATTGTGGCTTTGTTCTTTTCTAGGATAATGCATCTGGAGACAATGGGCCACTCACTCTTCACCTGTTTTGTTTAACGTCCATGCATGGAACTTCCTAGGAACTCAGAAATGTTCGTGGAGGACTGATTCCAGCTATCTCAAGGATTCCTCTAGAAAATAAGATCTGTATCCCCACCCTTTGGAGAACGAGTAGGTCATTTTTTTAAATTTTATTTAAACCAGTTTGCAGTACATAATGATTACCTTGATCCTGGGTATTTGGTTATGTGTTCATAACACATCTTAATTCTTTTTCTTTCTTTTTTTTTTAATCTTTATTCTTCCCTCCCTTCCCTTTCTTCCATCTCTTGATTCTTATTTTTAAGTTAATCATTATGAGTAATTAAATACCGTTCTTCAGTATTCAAGGACAGAGTAAATAATTCACAATAGCTCAAACTTGTAAGTAAGAATAATTCAAAATGAACAAGAATCACGTAAGTTTGTCTTAATTAAACTTTATATTCAAATTACAGTTAAACATCTCATTTAACAAGCAGACACGACATTCTAGGAAACATTTCAAGACATTCCACAGACAGCATAATTGCTGGAAACAAAGCAACTCACTCTGTCATTAATATGAATACTAAGACCTCACAGTCTTTGAGGGTGAAGGCCTAAATGACTATTGGTGCACCTCTATAAAATGATTATTCCTGACAATACTTAAAAGAACAGTACATCACTACAGCAAAACTAAAGAGATCTTGCATCCAGATCCATCCTTTTCATGTCACATGTCAAGGGGAAAATATTTATTTTACAATGAGCAACATGTCTGGTTTTTAATCTGTATTATTAGTAGGGATGTGACAAGCTTATGCTTACAAATTAAAAAAAATAAATTTTATATTTAAATTCTTCTACACTGGTGATTGGTGGGGATGCCAGCTCATTGAAGTTTTTGCTCCCGTGGATTAGGAGTTCTTCTGAGAGATTTTCATTGCGACAGTCTTGATCTCTGTGTACTCATATAGACCATCTTCACCCCTACAGAAAGGAAAAATATTATCCATAAACATCGCTAACATTGCAATGCAATTATAATAGTCCTTGCTTTGGTACCATTATGTTCTCATTTTTCTATCTAGAAATATATTTTCCATGCACAGAGAAGCTAGCCAAATGTTAATTGGTTATGCGTAAATCTCCTGGGGCAAGAAATTCTTAAAAATGTCTTTTGCTGGGTGTGGTGGTGCATACCTGTGATCTCAGAAGTTGGGAGGTGAATCAGAAGGATCACTGTGAATTTGAGGGCAGTCCGGACTACACAAGCAAGTGCAAGGCCAGCCTGCACTGCATTGTGAGACCTTGCCTCAAACAAATGTTTTTCATTTAAAATATTGCACACCCTCAGTTGATTTTCATATAGAAAGTGTTCATTTATTATACCACTTTTCATAAGTATTGAAGCTCCAGTTACTCCACGAAAATTGAACCCTACAAGAATGTTATCATTTTCTGTTTATATTCAGATAAATAGACAGACATAGCATAAAAGACACGGTGATAATTATCACTGAAGGGTGATATTGTAAAATTATTAACTGAAGCAGAGCCTGTGTATAATGTGCTGCTGTCACAGCACTGGTGCGGGTAGAAAATGACCACACATTCATTCTAAGTTGTCCTAATATGTTTTGGCTGTACTGTGTAAACATTCTTTGATGCGTGGCAAAACAAAAGCTCAAATTGTATTTTTTACATTTTGCTTATTTTTTGATGGCTTAAATACATTTTTTCTAGAGAGGAAATAAGACAGGGCTTGGTCTAAATTCAGGCTTTTGGACTTTTTACAAATGTTGCTATTTCACATTTATGCAGCCTTCTTTATCTTTTACTATTTGTTTGAGTAACTCTCACATTCACCACAAATAATACTGGATTATCATGAGTCACAGTGTTTGTACACCGCTCTCTATTATTATTCCTATTTGGAAATTATGATTTGCTCTTTATTGAAGAGACAATTAGGCCTGAGATCGGTTGCTTTCTGTAGTGTTTTGATGAGAAGATCAAATTTTGCCTAAGACTGTGCTTAAAATCATAACAGCTATGCAAATGTAGGTTCACAGAAGAGTATCTTGATATTTTTCCCTTCCTTTCCTGTGATGTAGACAACTATACAGAAGACATCTTTTCTCCAGAGAAATGTAGTTCTCTGACTGATTAATTTTTTGGGTGATTAAGCTTTGGAAGTATGTCCTAAAAGCTTCAATTAGCATATTTTTCAATGTAATTAAGGAGTTTAGATATAGAGTCTTCACTAAGTATATATAGCTCCTAATTATATAAACTAATCCATGATTTTTATTAATAGGCTACTCATGATACTTTGGCTTACAAGGGGGCATGAAACTCTAAGAAGAGGAGTAAGTGTGATTCTTGTCACACTCAGGCTGAAAGAGGTACTCCTCCTCAGGATTCCTATGCACATGTGTATCACACCCATGATAGAACACAAAAGCATATGCTTGAGTTCTTTTTATCTTATCAAGTCTTTGAGACTTGTGAACTCCTCATTTACAAACCATTTTTGGCCTTGTTCTGAAGATGATTGTGATTGTTCTGGAATGAGACCTGATACTGAGTTTGTACTAGGTGCCCACCTAATACTCATGCTTTCCATCTATGGCACACAGCATCAGTAAAGAGGTCCTGCTGACAAGTGTTATCCAGATTTTCATCTGTGGCCAGAAAAGAATTTTGTGCTAATTAAGCAGCCATAGAGGAAATTGGAGCTCTTGTATAAGCCTGTTGTTTATATTTACTCCCTTTGAAAGGGAAAACAACACAAAACTACTTTGTTTACTGAGATCCAATTCAATGTGAATGTCTTACTTGTCTCAGGTGACCCCAGTAACATGTGTGAAAACCAGTGCAATTACCCTAAGGAGTAATTTCTGTTACTTAACCCACTCCAGTGTGTGAACTGTGATCAGAGATTCACAAGTCAAGTTTGGTGACTCAGTGTCACCATTAAACTATTTTTGGCTTTTTATTCTTCACTGAACAATTTTGCTTTTCCACCTTTAAGGACAAATTATAATTCAGATCTTGGGGTTATCTGAGGTTATTGCTTCAGTGATTCCCTTTAGCCCTCTTGCAGCTAATAACTTATTAAATTCATCAAATTTACTCAACAGGTGTTCACAGTAACATTTTTAGCTGAACTTTTTTACTTAAAAAATGCAAGTTTTTCCTTTGTATATTAAATAAAGAAATTATGTTGAATCACTCTATGGGTGTTATAGTTGGTAGTTGATTCCTGATTTTAGTGCTGCTCTTATTTGAATTCCTTGTGGATTAACTTTATTAAAGTTGAACAAATTGTGTTCAACAAAATTGACACATTTATTCTACTGTAGTTATTTTATCACTCAGGAAAAGTGTTAGAAGACTGGGCTGGGAATTCTGGGCTAACCCTGCAATGTAATCTAATCATTATCTTGGGTATTTATACAAAGTAATTAGTTTTGCCAAGGAATTCTAAAGAGAAAGAGAAGAAAACTGGAGCAGGAAAATAATCGTTTTTGGAGTGTGCATTTTATGTCAGTTATGTAAGGCTATTGCCTGAATACTGAATACATATGTAACTCTCATATCATCTTAAGAGGAATGCCATCATCTTTATTTTAAACCTCAGGGAACAGAGGCTCAGAACCTGAACAACCTGAACCAGACCCAGGGCGGGCCAGTGATGGAGTCAGGACTCCGTGCAGGCCAGTCAGGCTTCCATTCTGTTTGCTCTGGGGTCTGTCCACTTATCACTGACCACTATCTATGGACTCAGCCACATTCTAAAGATGGCTATGGCTTTTCACCTCTCCACTAATAAGATCCAAGCCAATTTTCTTGGGTTCAGAATATCTTAATCTGGATTATAACTTTTCTTTAAAATCCTATGTCCCTGACTTTGTGAGGTGTGGATTCTCACCTTTTTGAACTACACCTTTTTGGTTTTTTTTTTTGTATCTGGGATTGAACTCACAACCTCACACTTGCTAGGCAGGTTCTTTTGCTGCTGAGCTCAATCCCTGACCACTTGAACTATATCTTTTTTATATATTACTTCTGCCACCATAGTTGCAGATGGGAAACAGTTTCATTTGTTGAGGACTCTTAGAACTTATCCATGGCAAGCATGTAATGGGTGTACACTGAGAATGCGCATGGGTCATCCTACCACTACCCCATTTCCATGCTCCCTTATAAGTGTCTATTTCATTGTAATTTTACTAAGGTAAGGGACAATGCTTGTGGCTATATTAACACAATCATGGTCTTTGAAGCTGAGGTTCATTATACTTGTTGCTAATGAAACCGGAAGGTTTATCATGTTTGATTCTATAGTTTGTAATGCATCTTGTTTCTTATTTTTTATTATGAAATGGAAAATATAATGAATAAATTTGGTAAATGTGATTGAACAAAATAGCTCAATAAAGTGCCATACTTCTTGTGCATACAGATGCATAAGTATATTAAAAATTCTAAATATCTTTGTTTTAAAATGAACTAAAAGCTCATAAATTCATTTAAGTGTAAATATTCTGAGTTTAAGCACAACTGCAACACATGTCTCATAAGTCAAATTTATTGGTAGGGTTATATATTAATTTTAAAAACTAACTCATTGAGATAATTTAAAATTTTAGAGTTTGTATTAATAATATTTTAATACACAATAACCATTCATCTTAAAAGTGAAATTATTTTGGATACGGCATATAATTTATTTATTTAAGAAGTATATTCAAATGGAAGGTTCTTATATTTACATGCTTCTTACAGTCATAAATTTAATTCCTACCTTTTTCTGGAAATATCTTTTGCGCATCTTACCTTCATATGTATGTGCCAAAGTCAAGTGCTCCATATAGTTCCTTATGAATAGTGGAAGCCTAGAAAATTATACTTCCCTTCTGCTAATGCCTATCTGTATTTACAGATTAATACAGCATTAAACAAGCTTTTTATGTGTCTTCAAAAAGAACAAAGCAAGGTTGTATCTGTGATAGTGAACATGGATTAACTCCCTGGAGTGACAATAGTTTTTATGAAAGTAAAAATTTGTCATAATAGAAAGTTTTTCTTACAGTTCTCGTCCATTTCCAGACATTTTGTATCCACCAAAGGGACACTGAGCACCTCCTGCACCATAGCAATTTACCCTATAGGCAGAAATAAAGAAATGAAATTTATAACCCATGAAGTATTCCTATTTGCTAAATTTAGAAAACCAGAAAATTCTTTTAAAAAATTCATTCATTTTAATATAACATTCATTGAGGTATTTAAAGAGGCATTATGAATACTAATGCAGAAAATATATGGATATATACATATAAACACATAGCACCTAGAAACAAATAAAATATGTGTGTGCATAGTTCATTTAGGTAGTCATTTAGCAGTGCTTCAGAAGTGAATTTCTTCAGCTTTGAATTTTCTGTTGGCCAAAGTTAATAGCTCAAGTGCATTATCTACATGATTAGCATTACACACAGATAGCAAAACAGAAACAGAAACAGAAACAGAAACAGAAACAGAAACAGAAACAAAACAAACAATTAAATGAAACAAAGAAAAATTAAAAGAGAAAAACATTCTGGTTTAATAATTTTCCTTCCTTCCATGCTGTAAAAATAGGTAGATGAAATAGCAACCTCCAAGTAAATTTATTGGATTGTGTTTGAAAGATTTACTTTGATTTTGAAATGATCTTCAGGCATTTTCTCAGCTAAAATACTTCCTCTCCAAATTCCCAAGTTTCATATTAGCACTGTGTCACACAGTCCTTTTTAATGTCTCTCATAAGGAAAGAATAGTTCCTTCCATAAATTTGCACTCTTAAAGGAAAGTTTGTTTTTCTACTTTGTTGCACTGTTCTTTTTTTTTTTAAGTTTTAAATTTTTGCTAATTGTTCTTTAAATTGAAAACTCAGACTCTATTTTGAAACTACTGGTAAAACTCCAGCAACTCTGGAATTCAATGGTTGTCTTTCTTTCTAAACTGAAATTTGTGTACAAAGGAAAGTAATTTTGTGCTGTTGTCAGGAATGAGGGAACAAAGGGAGGTTTTATAGACAGAAAGTACTGAGGAAGCAAGCTAAGGGCTGGGCACTCCTCAGAGGATGCAAGAGTTTCAGAGGAATGGCCTTGGAATTTGTATTCTTACATTAGTACAAAATGGAAGAAACAAAAAAGCTCAAAGATGAAAGAGATGTTTCTAAAAATCCAACCCATTTTTCTAAAGTATGTTCTTTAGACATCTGGAAAGATTCTATAGTGAGAGTCTTCGTATTTAATACGAATTAAATATTGCAATGTGTTATCTCGACTAAGTGAAACCATTTAAGACAGCAAATTTTATTCCATTTTCCTTGCACACTGCACAATGCTAGAAACTACATAGTGATGCTTATATTATATAAGTAAAACATCCATAAGAATATTGGTTTGCAGTCACAAAGGCAAGAAAAAGTTAAGGAAAAAGTTAAGGAAATTGTTCCTCAAAATTTTATCCAGTTTGACATTTAGGTCTTTTTAGGAGAGATGCTTTGGTTTTTGTTTTTGCTGTTTCCCTAGAAGGCCATGTAACATTAAATGAAAAGTTTCAGGCAATCTCTGGATACGGCTACCTCTAAAAAGGGACAGATCGTTCCTGATCATGTAACTCACCACACTGTTCCTGCCTGCAGAGCTGAGGAGACGGTCACTGCTTTGTCCAGGTCTTTGGTGAAGATTCCTGCTGCTAAGCCGTAGGTAGTGTTGTTTGCTCTCTTGATCACTTCATCTAAGGTCTTAAACTTCATGATTTGTTGCACTGGTCCGAATATCTACACCCCAAGAAGGAACGAAATAAAATAAAATAAGATAAAATCAAATAGTTTAAGGACAGTGTGATGTACAGTATAGTGTGTGCGTGCGTGTGTGTGTATGTGTGCGAGCCTACACACTGTTCTGAATTGGGTAAAGTTTATTTTTCATCTCAGATCTGTGTGTAAGAATCAGAATAGAGGCTGCAAAAATGACAGATGAAAATGGACCATGTCCAAGAGACACATTCTCTTTGGAGTCAAGCAGGGTACAGATAAATAAAACAGTGTTTATTTTCTAGATGTTGGAATTAAGCTTCTGAGAATTTTTGACTGGGCATCAAATGACTAACTTGAGAAATTTTTTAGAAACATTTTACATTTTCTCTCTAGTTTTCTTCATCTTCCAAGTTCCTACAACAATAACAACAAGTTCTGAAAGCGATGCTCACTGGAATAGACAATGTTTCATGATAAGATTCATGTTTTAAATGTCACCCAGTCATTGACTGAAGTGTCAGGAGTGTTGAATGGTCTTTCTTATGTTCAGCAATGATTTACACAGCACAGGGACAGGGATCACCATTCAGGAGAGTCTGCCCGTGAGACCCAGGGTCGTAAATCTACTCACCACACTGTGATCTATAACAGGGTAGCTATTGCAATAAGTGTGCTCATTTTTGGATTATTTTAATTCAACACAGCGCATGGCTCCAGGCTGCCGCTTTGAAGTGGCAGGCTAACTATTCTACACACATTATAGATGCACAGTAAGTTTAACCTGATAGAATATATTTGCCCTTAGACATTTTTATCTGTTATTAATCAAGATATGCAAGAATCACAGCTCTAATCAGACAAGACTCTCTCAATAATAAAAACATTATAATTCAATTGAACACTGGTTGATATGGAAAAACTAGTCATGTTTGATCATTCAAAAATACATTGACTTTTGGTTTTGTTTTTCCTATTTATTGCATCACCTTGCAAGGCTGAATGAATGCTTTTGTTTTGGTTTGAAGATATTTTGAGGGGAAAGAACATGACCTCAGATTCTCTGTCACAGCATGGATGGGGAGGACAAGTGACTGGAAGGATTATGATGAGTATTTTGAGCTGTATTTCCTCATTGTGGGGTGTGGTACAACACTTTCATAGTCAGAGGGGCATCCCTCTCTGTGTCATGGAAAACCCTCACTGGGTGTGAGGCAGACTGTTTACCACTCCTAAGAAGAAGACGGCTTGTCCTAGTTATACGTCACATCCCTGGAAAACAGTTTCCTTGATGCTTAGTTGGTGCTCACCAAATATTTAGCTGTAGTGTGTAACATATGTTGTAATATATATACGTGTGTGTGTGTATATATATGCTATCTGTATAATAAGGACATGTGCTATATGTAGAACTGTAACTATTCATCTGTTCCACATTCCCCATCCTTCATGTGCTCTTGCTTCTAGATGTTTTTATGTGTACTGTATTTTAATAACTTTACTTACGGTATTATCAGTAAAGCATATTGTCACTGTGAGTACACAAGAACCAGTCACATAAAGTGTATACATATATATGCAACAACGAATATCCTATTTTCATATTTGTATACATAAACTACAGCTTCTCATCACTGAAGGATCTGGGGCTGTAGGCCTCTGTGAGAGGTATACATGAATGTTATTTTCACATGCATGGATGGCTCTGATGTTGAAAAACTGGCCCCACAGGTAGGGTTTCAGTATTTATTTTGGTCATGAGAACACACGTGACCCATTGCTACTGTGGTCCACACACTGTAAAGCAGATTCTTGAACTTACTGCTTCTAGGTGAGTGCAGCTCTGTGTCCTTTCCCCAGCATCTTGTGGATCCTCATGCCCAGTCCCCCACAAAGCATTGGTGACCCCCATCCCACGCTCTGCCTCTTTGAGTCTGACTCTTTCATTTTCTCCTCACAACTGGGAATCATTCAGTATTGATCTTTCCATGTCTGATGCTCATCACGGAACACGCCCTCCCACTTATATTCATGCTCTCACAGATGACAGGAGTCTTCCATGACTTTATAGCTCGGAGGGAAACTCCTTAAGATGGATGAGTCTCCTGGCCTAAGTTTGGCTGGAAACTTGTAGCAGGACCTGTGGGTTCCATCCAAGTTTTAGTCTTAGTCACATTTAACTTAAAGCTTTTTAATAGCAGAAATAAAGGGTAACATTGCTGTGAAAGATGCCCAAGATCTGGTGCTTTCAAGTGAACAGACAGCCCCCCACACACACACACACAGAAAAAACGGTCAAGGCAGGCAGCAGAGGGAAGGAGCCTTTACCTCCTCTTTGGCGATGCGCATCTCGTCTGTCACATTGGAGAACACAGTGGGCTGGATGAAGTAGCCTTTGTTCCCCCAGGGGCCTCCGCCACACTCCAGCTTGGCCCCTTGTTTCTTCCCACTCTCGATGAGGTCCAGAATTTTATTGTACTGTTCCTTGTCAATCTGTTTCCAGATAGCATAGGAGAAAGCATGAGCAATTTACAAGGTTAATGCATTGCTGAGGCTATTAATAAGGGTTCAATATTCTATGACACTGCCTTTGAATTTAATATTGAACCAAAACGGCAGATAGAAGCTCAGAATCATTGCTTCAGTATGTTTAATGCATTTTCAGGAAAGAAATTTTGGTGACATTTATACTTAGTGTCTACATGTTCATAAGAATACAGGCACTATGAGCATATATGATCCTTTCTCACAAACGTCATGATTCACTCTGGATGAAAAGGAGTTTGGGATAGTACACACTTGCTGGACACCATAGTCCTAACTGAAATAATGGGAGTGAAAGCAAAAGAGAGAGTCTGACTTTGATTTAATTAGACATGGGAGTCGGGAGCTGGAGGTTTTGCTCTTTAAGGCTCCTATGATGCCTTCATTTGCATCTCCCAATCCTGATTAGACTCTGTTGGCTTCCTCTACATTGTTAACACCACATTCTGAGAAGAGTTGGGGCATCCTCCTGGGTCCTACTGTGTAGGTTGGATTCAGCTGGTCAACTCCAGTTATCATTTTCCTACTTTGTTAAGTGGGTCACATATATATATATATGCCAAGCATTATTCTAATAAATATTCTAAAAAAATAATACATCTCAAAGGAAAAAGAGAGCTCAGGGTTCTGGTTGGGAATATCAGGGAAGCTTGTCTCTTCTCCATGAAAGGGAGAAGATGCCTATCTGTTATCTCAGTTCACAGAATTACAGATTGAAAGATTTCATCATTGGTGAAGCCTGCCTATGCCGTGTGTGATTGGGTTAAAAGATTAAAAAGCAAACAAGAGACCCAGGAGGAGGAGGGAAGCCCATGGCAGCTCAACTTATTTCCTCTCACTACCTAAGAAGTTGCATTCTTTATCTTTGATTTTTAAATGTTCTGCTAATTTTGAAGCCCTAGAAAAATGTTTCATTAAGTTATTTCTTGCTGTACTCAGCTGAGATCTCATATCTACCTAGATTAACTGATATCTGCAATCAGAAGCTATTTTGTGTAATTTAGAAGTTTTCAGTGTAATATTGATCAAGGTTTTTCACTGCACGCTACTCCTTGGGCTATCTAACCCTCAAAGAATAACTCTTAATTGCCAACAGATTAAAGTTGTACTGTTGGCTTGGAAGAAGACATACTTTTGCTGTTACTTTCTAATTAAGAAAATCAGGCTAAGGGATGGTGTTAGATGACCTCAATCTGGTTAAGACAGTCTAGTATTTCTAAGAATTATAAGGATACATGTTTATGTGTGCAAAGCTCCTCTAGCTTATTCCAGTGTATTAAGTGGACTATGATCTAAAAATTCACATTTTTAAAAAAATTTTAAGATATGTTTCACAAGTCATAACACCTGTCTGTTTGTGACCTGAGAGAGTACCTGGTGAAAAGTCAATCCCTGAATATAGCTTGCAGGAATAGCCTGAAAAGATTTATCTATCAGAAACCTCATGTAATCAATGACTTCTGAACATTCAGGATTGTATATCTGAGAGCATGCTACTGATCATGTGCTCCTAGAATCAGTGGCTCTGGAATCCCTGTATAGCAAGTGGGTTTCTCAGCCTCAGCACCTCACACCTTCGAAATTGTTGTTTGATCTCAAGAAAGCCTGAGGAGCAGTGCATTAGAGTATGGGGCGGGTGACAACAAATTTTATGTATACTTGGGAACACGTTCAATTCATCCTGATTAGTTTCATCTCACAGAAATACAAACTTGCTGCAAAAATCACAGACTAACCAAGGATAAACTTGGCTTTCATTTTGAGCTCAGGCACTGTTCAACAATGATTGCATAGTCGAGGAGCTCTTCACTATGAGATGACTCCCTGGCTCGTGGGCTCGTCCATGAAATAGAACAAAGTCATGACACAGTTGTGAATGCTCAGAGCATATAGTTCAGTTAGACTGAATGTACAAAGTGCTTGATTCCTTTAGCTTGATGGGCTGGAAACCAATAGATTGGACAAAAAGTAAATTCACAAAAAGACACAGACATGCCCCTCAAATTATTTCGAAACCATACATGAAGAAGAGTAATGTCAATAGATACATATAAAGTCAGTTGTATTTATGTATACATAATAGAGACATGAAATTTTCATTTACTTAATAGACATTTGAGGATACACTATACCTTGAAGCAAGTGCTCTGACAGGTTCATTATATAGAGTTTTTTTTTGAGTCGAGGCATGTATGCTATGTAGTTCAGTTTGGTACTGAACTCACTAAGTAGCCAATGTTGGCATTGACCTCACAGTATTTATCTATCACAGCCTTCCAAATGCTGAGATTACATATCTCACTCCCACAGCCAGCCTGCTTTGTATGAATTCTCTTATTTCAGTGTATAGTAACCCTTTCCATTTGTAGATGGAGAAATAGTGTCAGACAAATATATATGAAACTGCTCCAACAAACATCCAAACTTCATTATATAGATTTTGATACTGTAGTCTTCAAAATCAGGAAAAATATCAACATTCTTTAAAATTATGTGTTTTAAAGAAATAATTTTGACAATTATCTTCTGCATAACTGAAGTGACAAGCACTGAATCTTCACAGCTATATGATAAAGCCCAGTTCCCTCAAGCACCTATTTTAGAATCTTATCCTTTATTTATTCCTCTTAAAAATAATATCTCTAAACTTGATGGAAAATGATTGCATTGTCCAGACTCACTAGTGGAGGAAAGTACTGCCCAAACACTGTTCAGTGTTAGTTATGTTACATATTTTTCACTCTTATTTTTCTATCAATTTTTAAAAAGTTCCATATTTTCATGTCAAGTAAGTAGACCGATAAATATTAGAGAGATAACCACAACACATAATTTAGAATCCAATTTTTTTCAAAATGTGAGATCAATGGTAAATTGAACATAATTTTGGCATACATTTGACAATTTGGTAAATATAAATCTAGAAACTACTTATATATAATTATTAAACTTACAAAGAAATATAAAATATAATTCAACTAAAGCAAATTATGGCTTCATTTGTCAGGTATTTTAGGGTTTGCCTGTTTTTGACAGTATGTTAATATTGAGATCATGCTACTTGGATACTTAGGATGAACAGGAAAACTCAAGACAGTTGTCTAAGTTACCTAGGAGGTGAACTCCCGGAAGTCAAGGAACACATGTTCCTTGTTCTTTTTGGTGGTGCTTTGAACCTGTCTCAGTGCTTCTCAGAGTTTAGCTGGCAATGATGTTCACAAAATGTTGGACGATTGATTACTTTTCCTTAACCAACTGAACAAGAATAGTTTGCCTTCAAATAATTAACATGGAACAGTGTATAATATTTAGGATGGAACCATGAGTTGCCATGTTACTTCCTAGTCTTCAGAGCACAATCTATCCCTGATAGCCCTATAGGCAAGCTGGGCCAGGTGCTTCTTTGTCTTGAGAGTCTCCTGTACCCTGTAAGGCCTTAAGCAGCATTGTTGGTCTCTACTCACTCGACTCAAATAGAACCACATCTTCCTGCCAAGTATGATAATTTAAAATCTCTCTAGATATGGCCAAAGGACCCCTGGGACAGGAATAAGATTTCTCCTATTTAGGGATTATTGCTCTAGGCTAGGACATCCAAGGGACAGAGGAAAATCAGAACCAAAGATGCAGGATCTTGAACAACAGACCATGACTAAAAAAGCATGCAAGGAAGAGGGAAAGGTGATCTCTCATAAGAAAGTCAGAAATACTCTTACTGATTATGTTTCCAAGGAAACAGGAAAACCAGCAACGCAGGGAAATGATTGGAATTTCTGAAGATGAGGATCTCTGAGGACACCTGCAGTACCATTGGGAGGTGAGTTGGAACTGAGAAACTGCGGAGAGTTAAAGGTGTTCCAGCTGTCTCTGTCTGTGGAATGGCAGCTGAGAGGAGGGGCTCGTTTTGAGGGAGAAATGATAGAGATGTGTAGGAAGTTTCAGGTAGACAAAGGATTGTCCACAGTAGAAAGATGTGGTTGAGGGAAGCAGGAAATTGACACTCCTTGCGTTACTCTCATATTTTTAATACCCGAATGACTCTTTAAACTGTTTCTATGTATGAAAAATCAGCAACACAAACCAGAATTATAACTCTGCTACTGATAAACAGACTTTTCCATCTCCAAGCTGCTATAGTATTGTTACATGAGAAGTGGCAAAAACAAGCAGTTACTTTACTCAGCTCCCCTTTCTATTTCATGCTCACCTGAGGGCCATGGTTTACACCTGGGTTCAGAGGATTTCCAAAAACGTACTTCTTCGCACGCTCAACACTCTTTCGAACAAACTCATCGTAAATTGATTCTTCCACAAAAAGCCTGGAGGCAGCAATGCAGGCCTGGCCCTGGTGGAAGAACACGCCCATATGTGCATATTCTACAGCAGTGTCCACTACAAAAGACCACATTAGAGAAGAAAGGTTACCTAAGGTTTCACAGTTCATATGTAGTTCTCAGAGGCAATGTCAGGGTCTTCTGTCAGGGAGTCAAACATCGACTTTATACATGTCCTCTCTTAAAATTCAGATGATAGAGTCATCTTTGTAATCCTTGACTGTTAAAATCATGACAATAAACAATAGAAAATGGAAAATTGGTGTTTATTATCATAACTTTAATAAGGATATATCTAAAGGAATGTTGATTTTACCCCAAGATCAAATATCATTGCAAATATATTGTATCATTGTCTCCATTTATAAAAAGTTATATATTACTTTTAGATGTCCATGGGTAACTAAATAAGACAGAAAATCTCAAATGTTCATTGCCTTAATTTTGCACTATTCTTAAACATCTTGATCAATTAAAAAATTGGCCTTTACATCTTTACAATAACAACATATCCTCACAAAATCCACTCATACAACCAATTATCTTAAAGTCTTATTCAAGGAAACATATTTTCAAAATTTATGTAAAAGTCTATCATGTTCTTTCATCTATGCTTATGCAACCTTGTATATTTAGATAGTACATTATGCATGCCAATGTTGTTTGATTAGTGTATATTTAATATGAAGAATCAAGGTTTCTTTACATTTACTTTGAGTTTAGTTTTCCAAATGCTGAAGATTCAATTCCACATTAAAGCAACTCAGTGTGAATTTGTGACCTAATCATGCAACTTAAGTTTCTTTAGCAACAGTTGACTAAGAGGTTTGAAAAATGGGGAATATTGTCATGTTTGTAGAATGTTTAATAAGAAACTGCATTCACAAAATTCAATTAAAACCATAAGGCAATGAAACCCAGTTCATGAGCCATTTGTTAATAGCAATAATGTAATAGTTTAAGAAAGGACTAGAAGAATGAATACCCAGTTCTGCTAATAAACTCTTGTTTAAGAGAAATTAGGAAGTGCTATTTGGTAACATAAACAGAGTAAACCTAGAACATTATCACATCATAATTGCAGACTAAATGTATGGAAACTCAGCTGCTCTTGGTAGGGGGAGGACAGAACGAGTGTAAGCAGGTTATTTCTCTTCTCACTAATTCAATTAATGAGCGTATGACCCAGAGGAAAAGGAGGTGACAAATGCAGAATTACTGTTCCCTGAATTTGTCTTGGTCCAACACAATGAAGTGTCTCAGTATGTTTAACACAGTGCCAATAACTGAATTAAGTAATTATAAAAAAATACCTCCTGCTGGACCCAGAAGTGCAAAACGTTTACACTTTTCAGAGTTCATCTGAGGAAACAGAAATCTATTCCAAACCAAGGAGAAAGTGTTCCTGTGATTGCTCCAGTGTTAGGATAATTTTAAAAATTTCCAAGAGTAATTCTGTTCTCTGATAAATACTTACACTCTGAAGCAAACGTGTTTGGAAACCCAAGTTCCCTGTCTGGCATGATCAGACCCCAGAAAGGATGGAGGTGCGGGCTTAGCCCAGGGGGCCGTACTCACAGTCAGCGTCAGCAAACACAATGCAGGGGCTCTTGCCCCCCAGCTCCAGGGTGACCCTCTTCAGGTTGCTCTTCCCCGCAGCTTCTTTGATGAGTTTGCCAACCTGAAAGTCACCATTGCCAAGCAGGAGACTCACTATGTGCTCGTGAAGACAGGCTGAGCATTTTACATTTGTCTGATGTTGTGACATGATTAAAAATGACTTGAAAGAACATGCATATTTTTTCGGCAACTGACACCTTGAGATTTTAACTGATTCTCTATGCAAGTGAAAACATCACTGTTTTCATTGGTTTTGCTTTGTGGATCATGCCCTGGCAAGTTTACCTGCTATAGATGTTTTGTATTTTAAAGTAGAAAATCTGGCCTATTTCTTTTACTTGAGAGCCTGATTCACTCAAATTATCTTTGTTTTTCTCTTGTTACATAATCAGCATTTTTGTTTCTTTTATTACTTTATTTCTTTTCAAATTCTATGTGTCACATTTCAATATAAAGCTATTTTTATTAAAGAAAAAGACGAAGTAAGCATTAGCAATTTATGTGGTTACTTAACTGATCCTGTACGTTACAAAACTGAATATTATTCAGCTAAAATATTTTTGTAGAATTCAATCCAATCTGTACAAGTGGATTAATAAATCTAAACTAAAAGTAGACTTGTATCAGAAAAATTTGAAACTTCTATAGTCCATTTTCATATTTCTTATGACCATTTTCAAAAACTCAATTTTCATTTAAAGTCATTTAGAATTTTTTTCTTGTCCTTTTAAAGCTCAGTTTCAAACTTAACAAGGACACTTAACATTTCTGAGCCACACTTCCAGGAGGGGGAACATCGGGTGGGGGGACCCAGAAATTTCCCACTGTTCTTTTGTTTTTTGTCTTTTTCCTTTTTATCGGTACCGGGGATCAAACTCATGACTGCCCGCTTTCAAGGCAGGGGCTTATGCCACTGAGCTAAACCTCCAGCCCCAGAAATTTCCCAGTCTTCTAAGGTCAAACTTTCTTTTCTGCAGATAAAGTGACCCCAGAACACTTCAGGAGCTTAGGGATGAGCCAGGACCAATGGGCAGTGATGCAGGCAGTGGGATCAGGGGATGCAGATGGACGGGAGAAGAGAGCAACCTGGAAATGTGCCTGTGTCTATGGGGGGAAAGGTCACAGCTCCGGGCTGGGGAGCCTGTGCCTTCTTTCCTGTCCCCTCTCTGCTCTGCTTTCAGTCACTTTAATAGCTTTGTGGAGCCAGGAATATAGCACCTGCTTGGCAAGTATGAGGTCATAAGTTTAACACCCATTACCAAAAACCCACCCCCCAAAAAAAAAAAAAAAAAACTACAAACAAACAAAAAACCATTCATTGTTATTGCCATGTCATGTACATTCTCAATTATCCATAGAAAATCCTGAGGACTTGGCTTTTCCTTATCAAACTTAGTGATTGGCAGATTACAAGGCTTTTCTACTTACTTCTATGAAAAGCAATGAAAATTGTAGCTTTATTTACCTAGATTTAGAAAATAACACAATTGAACATCCTACTCCAGTTTTCTTTGTGTACACATTTTAAAGGTACATTAGAGTGGCTTACTACGATTATAAAATAATCAAGACGCCTTCATTTCACTCCCTAGATACATGGGTGTCCAACATTTTCCTTGTCTGAATCTCACAAAGGGAATAATAACTGTGTTGGTTCTCACACAAAACATATAATGTAGTTATGTGTGTGTGTCTCCTCTCTCTCTCGTTACTTGTACATTTTACCCTTCTTCACAACACATTTGAGAGTGGAGTTAGAAGAATGAAATTAGAACCATATAATATAGTTATATATGTAATAGTGAAACTGTTTTTGTTTCTATTTTGCATTATGACACATAGAGGACAATTGGTTTGTGGGCTACAGGTTGGAAAGCCTTAGAGGACATCCTTATTTGTCAGTCTTTAGGGATTACCATGGAACCATTCTCCAATTCAGGGAAAGTTCTAGCAGCCATCTGAGATCAGTATTTTTTTTTCTCATGAGTCCCTTTATATCACTTTATACACAACTCACCCCTATTACGCCTAGTCTGTACTAATGTCAGAAGCTTTATAAGATGAACTTTTTTTGCTCAGTCTTTATCCTTTAGGCTTACATCATTTTTTTGTGTGTGTTGAATATCTAACAAAGTCATCACTTGAGAGTAGAACTCAACAAAATGTTTTGCTTGAAAAGTATGGTTTCTTCACTTTCTTTTGCTTAGGATAGAAAAGCCATTCTCCCTCACAAAGTCTACTTTCCACATCCCTTCTTCTTGAGGTGCCCTAGTGTTTCTGAACTTTTTGGATAACCAGACAAGACCCTTGGTAACATCAAGGGAAACTGAGCTTCTGACTCCCTTTCAGAAGGTACAGGAAAGAAGGCCCTGATGAGGGCCCAGTGTAGGGAGCACACAAATCACTATGGCCTGATTTACATTTTCTACCAGAAACTGTATGAATCATATGATACAGCAGCTCTGTTTCTCATAAGAGAAGGTAAAGAACACACTGAGCACAGTTCAGTTTTTTGGTGTTTATAGTCAGTATATCATTTCATCTAAACTACAACTGCTTATGTTGAGTAAGGAAATAGGTAGCTAGAATAAACAACAGAGATCATTAAAGTGAACTTGTGTTTTTAGAAAGTGTTGGCTTCAGAACAGTCCCATAAACACCCTGGTTATCATGGGTATTGAGGACACAGCTCACGGCATTACCTCTGTGGACCCTGTGAAGGCCACCTTGTCCACGTCCATGTGTGAGGAGATGGCGGCCCCTGCAGTGGGCCCATAGCCAGGGACAATATTCACCACCCCGGGAGGAAAACCCGCCTGAAAGGACAAAAAGCAGAATGGGTACAAGGAACTCAGAAAGATGCAGGAAAGGGAGGGTGGGGTGCAGGCTGCTTCTGTGGGCTCATCTTGTGTGCAGCCCTACACAGATAAAAGTGCTTAAGTAGCTTTGTTCTTTATTACTTATTATTATTATGTCATATCGTAGCCCACATGGAAATAACCCAGGGGAGGCAAGATTCACCTGTGCTCTTTCTCAGGGTAAGTTTATGGAACAATGCTCTAACGAGGGCCATCTCAGATTTCCTTATAGTAACTCAAGGAGGTAGCTACTTCTAAGTATTTGGTAAAAGGTTTACACATAAGGAAAGCAACATGTTTATTATTTATATCAGCAAAAGCAAAAAACTAAACAACTCATTTTTAATTCTCTAGCTGTAGATTGCTTAAGTGACAGTAGTTAGTAGGTAAAATGTTAGGTAATCAGATCATCCTGTTTAGGGTGAAGCCTCACAGACGGGTGTATATTCCTATTAAAGAGCTGACTTCAAGGCAAGTTTGGAACTGAGAGGAGCCTGCTGACACCGCATGTCACTAGTCTAAATTTATTTTAAAAAGAACATTTTTAAGGCTCAAGTATAGATTTCCTAAATGATAAGTTGTTAAAACTTATTAATTGTTTGAAGTTTGCTAGGATATGAAGGACAAAGAGTAGTGAGTGATTTAAAAAATATTTTTCACATGAGTAAGACAGCTGATGAAAATTATTTTCACATTCTCTTTGCTACATTTGAACAAGAAAATGTAGAAGAAAGAATAATAGAAAAGTCAATATAAAAATATTCATTCATGGGAAAAGGTTTTAGAAAGAATAGGACCTAGTGTTACAAAGAGTATATAGGCAGAGTGAACTCCAACCTTCAGGAATTAAAACTAAAAATTTGTTTTAATTGCAACAGATTTGCAGAGTCTACTGGACCATTAGTGGTTTTTAGGAACTAGCACAATATTCCAGCATTGAAAGGGTTCCATATTAATTTCAACATGAATTTTTGCTCCTGAGAGTTGGACAAAAGCAAGAAAATAATGGATTAGCAGGCGACTGATTCCAAGCCTCTGCTCAGGCTTCTGGTGTGCATTTCGGGGAGATTCATGTGCACTGACTGCCAGAAATCCCAGCTAGCAGCCCTGATCAGGGCACCCTCACCACTGGATGGAGCCTTCCAGAGCAGTGTAGCAAACAGTAGCTCTAAATGAGACTGCCCATTGCACCTGGGGCTCTTGGAGTCTCATGCACGCTTTGAGCCAGGATGCTTGCTTACCTCTTTAATTAAGGATGCCACGTGAAGAGCAGTGAGGGGAGTTTGTTCTGCAGGTTTGAGAACCACTGTGTTTCCACAGCTGAGCGCGGGTCCTATCTTCCACACCAGCATAACCAATGGGAAGTTCCACTGGAAAGCAACATTCCACACTTCGGGTTTATTTTGTTCAAAGGCCCAGTTATTAATGTAACTTTGACATTATGTCTTCCCCTCCCCTACAGTTGTTAAATAATGACTGCAGTAGTTGGACAGGCATTCAGTGTGTGCTGTTTAAGTCATGGCCAGAAAGAACAATAAATGGCAAAACTCTTAATGAAAGCCATATATAGAAGGGACAAGAATAGAGTCCCTATATTTGATCAAGTGCTGTTATTTTAAATTCTTATTCTACCAGGAATAAAGTTGCTACCTGATTTTCAATAATAGCAAGCACGATAGTGAATTTTGTCTAGTAGAATAAGAATTCATTTGACTTCCAAAAGTGGCTATAGTCTTCTGCCTATGGAGAAATCTTAATTATTTATAGGAGAAAGGCTCTGTATTTGTGGTGCCGGGTTTCCAGCACAGGGCTTCATACAGATGGCACATGAGCCCCACTGAGTGACTCCTCCAGTCCAGCAAGACAGAAGTGTTAAAGAGGACACAATGTACCTCAGGAGGAGAGCTTGGGCTAGGGTCCCAGAGCAACCCCCGAGTAGCCCTGTGAACCCAGAGAAGACTCCTTTTCTCTATTAAGGACTGATAATACCCTCTACTGCAGAAAGCTGTCCTGTTAGGTGACATTAGCATTTAGGTTTTGTGGCTTTAATGAATTCTTGGGGTTTTCAATGAGTAAGAAATTTCATTAAAAATGTTAAATATTTATCCTTTTAACTCATTGAAAGAAAAAAACAAATGATGCTCGCTTTCTTATTTAAGAATTTCAAAACACTTCAAAGTCTTTTTATTTGGACTTTTCAAGGATTTCAATCATGTTTAAACAGTATATTTTTTTTGTTGGGCTTCAATGGAAACTTTCATAATTATACAAAAATGTGCTGTTTTCTGTTAGGGGTATCAGAGTTTCTTACCTAAAAGGCCCATATATTCTAATTCAGTGTTTCAAGTGCCTCTATTTCATTAAAATTTTTAAAACTTGAAAATATTAATATCATTCCTCATATAACTAGGAAAATAATCCACGAAATTCATATGGAACTGGAAGAGATCCAAAATAACAAAAATAATCCTGGGCCAAAGAGAAAAGCGGAAGACATCACAGTCATTGGACGCGTTCACTTACATTATGAAGCCACAGTGATAAAGAACCATGATGCTGGCATGAAAACAGAAATGTGGGTCAATGCAACAGGACAGAGGATGCAAAACCACACGAAGCACATTCAGGTAGCTGATCTCTGACCAGGGTGTCAAAACTATATACTGGAGGAAAGATGGACTCTTTACACATGATTTTAGGGAAACCAACAGTCCACATGCGGAAGATTGATGTTGGAGCTACATCTCTTACCATGGTGTAAACTAAGAACAAAGTGGATCACAGGGTGTTAAAATAGAAACGATCTGTTCAAAACAAAATAGGCAAAACCCTTGAAGGCATAGGCATTGAATTTCTGATCAGAAATGCCAATTGTAGAAGAAGCAGAGTCAGGGCTAAAAAGTGGAATTGAATGGAATTAAAAAATTTTCATAGAAATGAAAATCAGTTAACAGAATGAAAAGACAGTACACATGATGGGAAAAATACTGCCAGGTACTTCTCAGAGGACTAATATCTAGAATATATAAGAAAGTAAAAGCAAAACAAAAACAACAAAACAAAACAAACAAACAAAACAAGTAAGACCCCCTAAAATAAAAGAATCACTCAAAACCTGGGTAACCAAAATAAATAGATACTTTTTAGAAGTACAAGTGACCAGTAAACGTTCAAAAATGTTCAAAATTTCTTGTTATTATAGAAAGGCAAATGGTTTCCAACCACACTGAGAATCTATCTGATTCCAGAATGAGTGATTGTCATCAACAAATTGAATAACAATAAATACTGGTAAATCTGTGAGGAAAAAAATGAGTTCCTGTAAATTGCTGGTGGGAAAGTATACTAGAATGACCACTATGGGAATCACAGGGAGATTCCTCAAAAAACTAAAATCAGAAATTCTCTGACACAACTATGCCCCTTCTAAATATCTTCCGGAAAGATTTAAAGATATCATATTATATGGATACATGCATTTATAGGTTGATAGTAACATAGCTCATTTAATCTCAGAAGTGACCTGTGTGCACATCAGCAGATGAGTAAGCAAAGAAGATGTGGTGTTTAAATATACCAGACTACTACTCTGCCAAAAAAAGATGCATTGGAATCATTTGAAGGAAAATGAATGCATGTTGAGAGCATAATGTTAAGTGCAATAAATCACAAACACAAGCTTACATATCTCACGGCTTCCTGTACATGTGAAAGCCAATATTTCAATAATTTACAGAGAAAAATAAAAGTTGGATTAAAGTAATTAAACTAATTTTTTGGAAAAGGGAAGAGACAAAGTGATAGAGTCATCTGGAGAGAAAAACAAGAAGTTGGGAACTAGAAAAACAAAAAGATGTGTTACGTGTATACCTACTTAGGTAATCCTAGTGCCCTGCCAACAGACACCAGTGAAAACACAGAAATGTCTATCAGGAACTGAACACTTTTACTGCTGCTGTGTGTGGTCTGGGATGAGAAGTCTGAAAGGAGGCAGAGTGGAGGAGAGAAGGAGGCACATGCCACTGCAGGGCTGTCCCACAGCAGGAGAGCCCAGGGTCCTCTCACTGTCATGTGCTCACAAAGCACAGCTTGTAGTAGGAGTGCAAAATACAAGTTTTTCAAACAACTCATAGAGTAAAGGTTAAGGTATTTGGATGCAGGTGCATTGAAACCCACTCAAGAGACACACTAAGGTACAGAAGATTTTGGTTATTTCCTGAATTACATCCCAGAAATTCAGTCATAGGAAGCCTGGATTCAACAAATCCTACGTGTTGAAATTTACATCACATTTAACCAGTAAACAAGCATCCATTTCTGTCAGAGAAATCTTGGGTATCAAATTAAATAGCCTTATGTTAAATTAGGGTTTTTAAAAAAGTTACACAGGAGCGCAACTTACAGGAAGGATTTGGCCGCACACTCCAACAGGTTCACGTCTCGTGTAAGTGAAGAAGTCTCCATCTGGAAAAGAAGGCACACACCCAGCTCTATATGGAGCTAATCTACTTGAGTTTGGAAGGATGGAGACTTGAAACTGATGTGAGAGGAAGATGAAAATAGTAATAAAGAACTTTTTTAAAAAAAGGAGTATCTTAAAAACTTACAAAATGGATATTTGATCCCACAGATAACTGTTTAATTATTCTGGTCTAACTGTACTGAGTTTGACAGGCATGGGTGCCCATAGCGGGCACACAGTGGGGCAGCCAGGAGGGTCTGATAATCATACTACGGAAGAGTAGAAATGTCATGTTGGGAATGATACCCAAATAATTAATGCTAGAGGCCAGTTATAAAAAGTTTGGGCTCCTCAAGAGTTGCCTCAAATCAGTAATAGTAACTGTAACTGTAAGATTACAAGTAATTGTAACTGTAAGATTGTTCCTATGTCTACAATTTCTAACCTACCCATAAGGTTCTGCCTTATTATACTGAAAAACTTTTAAATGCTTTTACTGAACCATCACAGAACATCCTAGGTTCCAACTGTGTCGGCTTAACCTCAGGTGAGAATACTTTTGCTGCACTTGACTGCAGTTAAGAGGGCGCGTTTATAGTTATTCAGCTCTACAGTCCTGACCCATCCCTGCTCAGTCCTGAGGTCACCCAGAGCTCCTCACCGCTGGGGATGGTGTGGCCCTGGATCTTGTCGGCCCAGCCTGCACAGTAGCGCAATCCTTTTACACAGCCTCCCAACTCCATCAGATATGTAGTAGCAAATAGTTTCCCACCATTTGTTGCCTCCATTGTCTGAAAAACAGATCAGTCCCTAAATTTAAAATTCTACAAAAGTTTTCCGTTACAAAACAATGGCCAATATGTTGGATATGCACTAGAGAATTCAGGATAGAGAAGAAATTTGAAATCATTTATGTAATTTTCTCTTTAAAAATAGAAACTAAAAAATGTTTTATATTAACGTGTAGATAGGGTCATACTGCACAATCTATGTAAAATGTGTAGGAGATTGCAATTTCTAAACCAGTCTCATTCTGAGTGTTTCTACTGACCAACATTCAAAGAGTTCACTTCAATTTGATATATCCTGCTGTGAGAACTGGATAAGGTGGGTGTTCCAATAAGATTTCAACATAGAGATAATTTTGTATTGGTGATTTTTAATCATGTTTCAATGATCATTTTAGCACTCTGATGGCTGAGACAGGAGGATCACCACAAGTTCCTGGCCAGCCTGGACTACAAATGAGTCAAGAGAAACAAAAACTCATTTGTAATTTTGGACCATTAGAATATAATTAATCTACTTTTATAAGCATAACATCTGGATCTTTCATTCATGAATTCTTCACCAGCAATTTCAGTTATGGAACTAATGACAAAGAAGTTTTGTTGTAGTGAAATAATTTGGATATGTTCACAAAGCCAAATAAGAAACTCAATAAAAGTATAGGATCAAGTAAGTTTAAGCAACTTAGTACAATATTCTAGAAGATTCCCATCCTGCTACCATTTAAATGCTTGTTAATATTCTATAGTAAAGGAAAGAAATTTCTTTAATTTGACTTCACTGAGTAATTGCCAAAATTTATCCTATAAAATTAGTTATGGCAGCAAAGTTAAGATCACCTAGAATGAGCTAGCAGATGACTACTTGACAATAATCCCAGGCCTAACAGTCCTATAAGCTTGCTGAAGACTGAGTGTTTTTCTTTTTTAAAATAGAGAGTGTGTAGTGTTCACAAAAACCAATCATGTTACCAATTGGAATAGTGATTGCTTCATCTAGCTCCCCCTTGCATCCAGTGTGGTCATACTCACTGCCAGCAGCAGACGATCCCTTTCAATTAAGTCAGCCAGCTTGTGGATGAGGCGGCCCCTCTCTGAGGCATCCATAGTGCGCCATGGAGAGCCAATCTGAAAGGCTTGTCTTGCGGCCCGCACTGCTTTGTCAACATCTGCCTGTAATTCAGGGAGAATTCAGTTTAATCCCTCAGTTAATCCTATTTATTGTTTATGCTTTCTCATTGCTTTTACCATAAATTCTTTCCTTTTCCAGTTAAACTCAGAGAGCACTGTTTAGGAAAAGAAACAGAGAAGCAAACCACAAGGAACTTTGATTGCCAGCAGGACCTGTGAATATCATAGCAATATGACATGCGTGCAGCTCTGTGTTTGAACAGCTCTGTGTGACACAGCTTTCATTTCTGTCCTTCTGATTATTGCTCTGCCATTGGTCTCAGCCAAATATGAGCTCTCGGATGTGTCCTGAGCCCCAGAAGAACATGAGGAACTGGCTTTAAGACAATTACTCTGTCATGCGAAAAACACATCCTTCGAAAATGCTGCTGAAATATATTCTTGTGGCTGTGTCTTTTAATTGTATTGGGCTTTCTCTTACATGTTATATTTAAGTGTATAGGAGCACAGATAGTCATGGTAGTTAATCAATAGCTTTGCAATAAGAAAAAGTAGATTTAGATTCTCATTGGGTAACTTCTGAGTCATCCAGCCATCCATATGGATCAACTGCTCCATCTTTTCATCCATCCATCCATCTCTCTATCCACCCATCCACCTAAAGATTTTCTTGCACAAACTATGCTATAGCATCTTTCTTTTCGTATGCTGATGATAAGCTACTCTATTGAAGGGATTGTCCTTTTGAAATATTCAATCAAATGAGAAGATTGTAAATCCAAATCATCACCCCACCATCATATATACCATGAATAACATTTATTCCTCTATATCTAAGAGCAGTTAATTCAATGGAGCACATTACAGTTACCCTAAATCCATGGATGAGGAAGTCTTTTATCTAATTCACATAGTATCTTCATATAACATACATACATTTTCACATGTACGTTAAATTATCTCTAAATTACCTGTAATATGTACTATATCTCCTGTGCAAGTAGCTATGCTATATTATTTAGAAAAATAATGATAAGAAATATGTCTGCACACATTCATTGTAATAAACCCATCCCTGTGAGGCCCAACTAAATTGTTTGTGTCAGCAACAACATTATCATCCTGTTTGATTCTGAAAAGGAGGAATTTAGGGAACAGAGAGTCTGCTCTATTCTAAGGTGAAATTTTGTGCCACATTTTAAAAATTCTGCTTTTTTCTCTAAATTCAAGGAAGGTGATGTCATGGGTTCCTTTGCAAATTAACTGAGGTAACCTATAATATGTATTTTTTAATGTGAGGGGCATTGTGTTAAATATTTCTGGACAGTTGCAATTGTTACTACAATGCTAGAAGTTGAAGTAGCATTAAAGTACTGTAACCCTCAGCAATTCCAGCGTTCTGTAATATTTTTTCAGTAATACCCTACTCCTGCATCTTTTGTATTTTATACTGCCGACAGCCTGCTTTCCTAGGTTTCTTGTTGTTACCTGGCTAATTCTTTTCATGTAAGTCTATCTTGGCACTTTCTCTTTTAATGTTTGTAACTGTTCTTTTTTTTTTCCTGTATCCCAGGCTGTCCTTGAACTGGCAAGGATCTTCACTGCCTCAGTCTCTAGAATTCTGGGATTAGAGGCATGTGTCACCAGGCTGGGCATTGTAACTGTTCCTTTAACCTGCACTCCCAAGACTAAAGTCCCCAGGTCAGTATTCCTGGGCCTCAGAAAGCCCTTTGATCCAGTCCTTGTCTTCCAGAGGTCGCTCCTTGCCAAGAAAGTTCTACCAGCACAGACTCTTGTTTTCCAAATCCTTTGCTTTTTTAGCCCTCAAATATTTTTTCTAGTATTGCTGAATCCTCACTGGACTAACCTAGCTTGATGATACCTACTTACGTGCGGCCCTTCGATGTTCTTTATAGCCCCCAGTCACTGCAATGATCTTCACGGATCGTGTTTCACATTGAGTAGAGCACGAGATCCAGCAGAGCAGAACTAAAATCGGACTCCAGCATAATTCTTATAGCTCTGCAGAGCACTTCCAATAATGTCCCCTTGCAATGAACATTTACTGCGATCTGTGTTATAGGGCACAGTTCTTTTTATTCTGGGACTACAATAGGCAGTATATAAATGTTTCATAATTTTGTTAGCCATCTTTTGAATCTATCGTGTTACCCTCATATAACTTTATTGATGTATCATAAATGATGGTTTAACTGATTCCATTGTGTAACAAAGATTTATATTAATCAAAGGTACAAGGCATAAAATTTTATGCTTTTGATTGTTTCTTTTTCTTTTACATATTTTTTTAAATTCAAGACTAGCAGTTTGATTCAATGACTAACATTTTCAGGGCTACAGTGTTTTTCTAATGAGTCAGAAAACAGTTTGGTGCATTAACTCAAACTTGCTACCAGCAGAAACACTACTGCTTAAGACACTGTTATTTTTTTAAGTAAAGACCCAACATCTGAGTGTGTGCAAAGAACTTGACTGATGATAAGCAGCCAAATTCCTCATAAGTCTTGATAGGGAAGACTGAACTCTTCCGCAGCTCCCAGCTCATATATTTCCATATTACATTTATTCACGGATGAAGAAAAAAAGTTTTCAAATTAGTTTTAATTTTATCCTTGTCATACAAACTCTCACACTTTGTCCCCACCAATTATTTGTTAGTTCTTGCTGTAGTATCAGAAGCAGTTTGCAGGACTACTCAACACAGCCAAAAACAGCCACTGAAGTGAGCCCTGTAACCACCCACATCTCACTCTGCTCTGGAAACTCCATGTGTGCCCGCCCTTCCTCCTTGCTTTGTGATAGCACTGAAAGCCCAGTCTTAGTTCAATTCTACGCATACATACAGTCCCTGAAACTTCTGGCTCATTACCTAAAGAGTCAGTTCCAGATTACCAGGTTACATGAGTAGGCATATTACAAGTATCAATACTTATGTGCTTGTAACACAAGAAGCAAATATAATACTCCCTAATCATACAGGGTAGATTCGAGAAGGCTTGAAAGAAGTATAAAACCCCATAATGACTGAGGCTTTACCTGCCTGGCACTTTTGAAGGTCTTATTAGCAATATGATCTTGAGTAATTATTCAACCATTCAACTCTGCTATTTTATCATCATTTATAAATACAACTATAAGTTTTTATCTTCCCTTTAAAATTATTTTTGTAAGTATTAAATTAATGCAGTACTTTGAGTTAAGAATTGTCTAAATCAGTTTCGCTTTCTTACAATTTAGGTAGATGGTATCTATACTTTTAACTACTTATTGAACCTGGCATTTTAGAGGTATTGATTCATACTATTTGACACTTTTTTATTAAAAGAAATTTATAATGTGTTATTGAATATAGTGTTTAAACATCATATATTAGCTTTAAAATTTTCATCTAGCCATTTAAAAAGAACTCTTTTATAGACGAATTTCTCTCCTCTTTCAAACGTGATTAATCCTTTATTGTACCAACTGTGTGTAACGAAAATGTATTATGCACTATGCATTTGAAAAGCAGGGAAAACTACAAGAAGAGAAATAACACCGACACCTGACTTTAAGGGTCGTCATTATTATAAGATGACCCAGTCCTCTTCACAGGCCAGGACTGTCCCACAGTCCCGTGTCCAAGCCATGTGTCCACTTTTCAATGGGGTGGGAGCTTAGGGCCAATGAGAGGCAGCAGAGCCTGGCATGAAGCAGAGCTGGATTCAGAAACTCACCTTATCCCCTTCCTCCACCTCACAGATCACCTCTTCGGTTGCAGGATTAATGACGGGGAATTTCTTGCCACTCACTGAATTATGCCATTCGTTGTTTATGAAAATCTGTGGGGATGCACATAAAGGACATTAAAAAGCGGCACCTACGGGAAAAGTCTGTGAATTTACACTGAAGCATCACACAATGCCTAAAAATTTTTCTAGTTGTAACTGAAATTTTACATACAAGCACACACACATACACACATGCATGTCTGCACACAACAGTAAAGCAGTATTTTTTAAGATCCATAAAACTGTGCCATCTTTTCAATGCTTGAAAGTACAGACTGCAGAAAACAACATTAAAATTGCTGTTGTTACCTGAAACCGCAGGAATCTGAGACCAGAGTAGAAGCTTTGGTGATCTTGGTCTACGTTCTACTTCATTCTGAGCATTACCATTTTGGGCTACTTTAACTTGATCTCATGACTGACTACTTTCTGATGCTTTATTTTGCTTTTAGAAACTGGTTTACATAAAATTTGCTTAGAAACTATTGGCTAGAGATCTGTATTTTATTGATTGGTTCTGAAGGAATAAAGGCTGCCCCAGCTGAGAGCTCCTGTTAAATCAAGTCGTAGGTCAGTTCTGACAATGAAAAGGAAGTTGGTTTGTGATGAATTTTTATGCCCCAGTAAGAAGCTTGACCTATATTTTTGATCAATGAATGCTCTGCAAACACTGATTTAAAGTACCAAAAATTCTTTAAAGTACAGAAACCAGTTTATGAATTAGCCCAGAGTCTATTTTAATGAGCTAAGAATAAGAGCATGAGGCTTTAGTGAAGGATGCAGTAGTAACCTTGGCGTTATGAGTCACTTCTCTTGTTTTGTGAATAAGAGAATAAGGGAATAAGAGAACTTGGTATAGGTAACATGATGAATGAAGTAACTGTAAATCCCTGGTACTCTGACATAGTTTCTGCTTTGTGTTATGGAGGATTTAGTAGCTACCTTAATTACCTTTTGTGTATTTTAATTGTCTTAGCTTTACATTTAGTACTTTTCTTCTAGCTGCCTGCATGTTCACATATATTTGAACAGATACTGGCCCCCTGTAATAATATTAAATGGATATACAGAGTGGTACAGGCTAAAATTTTTTATTATAATATTGATGATATCTTTGTTGGGTCTGTTGAAATGATATATCCTGGCAACAACCTAATTTTCTGTTTCCTGCCTGCCTTTGACAAGGTTAGCAAAAAAAGAATGATGTAAAAGCAAAGTTTTCTTGGATCTGTTTTAATCGCTATGTTAAGTATATGCTATTTTAGACTTAGGATACATTTTAGCAACAATTTTAGACTCCGGATACTTTGTGTAATGTAGATGTACAGTAATGTACAACATGATTAACTTCACAGTATTGGTTAGAAATTTTGGAAGCCTATGCATGCTCTTAGGATTCAAGTGAGTCTTCTTTATTTGGAGAAACAATCAGTGGGAATGGCAAAGTAACATATAAATTGATTTCTACACTTTTCATTTTGGATATGTTAGACTTAAAAAGATACATCTTGTTATCTTTGACAAACAAGTACCCGTTTCTGAGGTGCAGTTTAATATCCAGGTCATATTTTTGGAAAGCTTTGCCTTTCCAGAGTAACAGTTATTATGTTTCAGTATGTTTAGCATAATACTAAAGATTTTTTGAAAAAGCAGTCTCCAAATATTTCAGCCTGACATCAAGTTCGTATTTTGCTGGTGGCTAGAGGAAATCCTCTCAATCTTCTCTGCTGAGCAGCGATTTTGGAGTCTGCAGTAGGATTCCCTTTCACAAAGTCACCTAAATTCCCTTATCAGCTCCTGCTGCCCTAGGCCCCAGTGGGCAAGTTGCTCTGTGCTCTCCCAAGGGGAACCAATACTTCCTCATGGCAGAGAGCTTTGAAGAGGTCCGATTTTCAGTGCTCAAAGATTTCTTTTAAGACATTCCAAGGGAGAGGGAGGCTATGTAGAATCACTTTATGACTTGACTGTGTGGATTTTCAGACCTGCAGTTCATGTTGACATAGGGAGGGGTGGCTGGTTATGTAAACATGCAGGAAATAAAGTGTGTTGCAAAACTTTTGTCAACCATGGGCACCGAAAAGTGTGCCAAAGACTGGAGGGAAAGAGTATGAGAGATGAAATAGATGAAAGATAATGAAGAAAAAACAATACCAGAGCCCTGGGACATAGTTAGGAGGGGTGTAAGAGATTCAAAGCTAGATCTCTGGCAGCAACTTCAGGCTAAACCCTGAGGAAACATGGCAAAATGTTGACTAAGAAACATATCTGATTTTTTTTTCCTTTCCTCACTTTTTTTTTTTTTTTTTTTTTGGTACCGAGGATCAAACTCAAGACCTTGTGCTTACCAAGCAGGTGTTTATGCTGCTGAGCAAAATCCCCAGCTCAACATTTCTGGTTTTCAAAGAAGAGAAATGTAAAAGGAAATTAAAGAGAACAAATGGAAGAAAATTTCTAATTGTAGTCAAATAAATAGAAACAAAAATGAGACACCGGCTAAATCAAAAAAGGAGAAACAAAATTTTCCTTTAATTCTTGTTTGGTCTCACTGTCTGAGTTCAGTCTTAATGAGTGTGTGTAATCTCTTCTCCGTATGTAAAATGGCCATCAGCCTTTTCAGTTGAGTCAGGAAAATAGTAACATGTCACATTTATTTTAAGCCAGACTACCCTTGTGTCTTGCAGTTATAGAAAGTACTTGTCGGCTACTTCTGTGTAACATGCATACCTCACAAGTTGAAGGAGAGAGCTGTACAAGACTATAAAATTCAGTACCTATCTCACATTAGCAGTAGTATGACCCAGTGCTGCAACTGTGTGTGTGCAATTCCTTTTCCTTCTAAAAAATACCAAACACAGGGCAGCATTCAGTTGTTTATTTGTGTTTCATCAACTTCTTCCTAAAACATATAGGAAGTTCAGTGGAAATATCAGATAATGTAACTTAGGGTTGCAGGGTTTCACAGTTAAGGTCAAGTTTTGAGAAGGGTCCTTGTTTCCAAGGAACAAATTCTTTCAACAATATCAGTGTTGTAATAAATCAGGCAGAAACAGAATATCAGAAGGTCAAATAATGGTACCACTTCATATCCCTCCAAGCAATGATGTTGCATTTGTGTGAACTTATGTTATATGCACAAGTACATATAAAACAATCTCAGTACCACAGTGTCATGAACTTCAGGTGTTGTGAATGCAGTGCACATCCTGAGCTGCAGGGGAAATCGTGCAGCAGCCATGGTGGATGCCCGAGCCTACTGTAGTAGTGAGCCCTCTATGGACTCTTCCTTCTACGCTCTGCAAATGTCTAATTTTTACATTATGTAAGGTAACAAATCAGCAAAATAATAGAATAGAACTATCTTAATAATACACTTTCACTTCTTGAGGTTTAAAATGGGCCCTAGTCGCATGGTTTCCAGCTCCTTTGCCCAGGGTAGCTGTGATCCCGAATGAGGTAAGCAAACTGAAACTGAGGGAAGTTGTGTGGGTCCACTCACTCTGGGGCTGAAAATTTCAAAATTCTAAGAAGCATTAGAAAGAAGAGTTCAAGGAGGGACCAATTGGTTAATAAGTTCTAGACACTTTGCATAGTTTATTTGACTTAATTCTCAGAGCCACTTTCTGAGGCAGTCATTTTGATTCCTGGTCACAATTAGGGGACCTGAAGCTGAAGGGGATTAGAAGCGTGGCCAAGATCATGTTATTAAGTAGACAGAAGAATGAGAAACTGAAATCAACTTTATCCTGTTAAACCACTGCTGCTGTAGACATTCAGCTACTTGTTCAGCTGTTCTCAAAGCCCCAGGCAAATAAAATACTGCTAAAATCAAAAGTTTAAAAAAATCTCTCAAATGAAATCTATCCCCAGCACGAGTCCAGAGATGCTGAGAATGCCTGTCTAGTAGTAAGCACCCGGAAATGGTTCCCTCAATTAAGCTCCATCAGCCACCAAGACCCCACCCCTCTTTCCACTCCCCCTTCTCAGGCACCCTCCCTCTTTAAGTTACTCCAGCCTTGTTACCCTTCCGTGGTTCTTCAGACCCTGAGGATCACTCTGCTGTAACAGGTGACAGGTCTGTTACCCTGGATATTCACTTCTCTCTATGCTCCCCGGTCCCCTGACTCCCTATACCCCACAGGCTTACTCAAAACTGCCATTTCCTTATAAATATTCTTCCAGACAACATCATCCAAGGGAGCTCTTCCCATCATGCTCTCTCAGCTTCATTTTCTTTCTTTAGCACTTACAGCGTTTACCCTTAATCATGCCACTTGTCTGCTTCCTTTAAGCAGTTTGCTGCCTGCTCCTTTAGGTGTCCAAGGCTAGGCTAACATGCTGATAACAGGTGGAGACAATTTCAGGATTTTTCACTGGGAAATGAGGGGGTGGTGCCTGTACTTTCTGTAGTGCGTAATCCACGCATTCTTTTACCTCAGGTTCCTGAAGATACTGCATGCTTTACAGTTCTAGATATAAAAGACACTTTTTTCCCCCACATGACCTTTCACTCTAACTCACAATTTCTTTTTACATTTAAAGATCTCTCTGCTCAGGACACCAGGAAATGTCAGTAACCTCTGGTCCCAGTGAAATAGAGATGGCTCTCACTTATCTAGAGGAATCTTCTATCTGAAATCCTACAATACATGCATGACATCCTCTTCTGTGCCCCTTCTGAGAAACTCTGAGTGTACTTAGCTCTATTCAGCTTTTTACCCGAGGGATTAGAAAGTTTCTTGATCTAAGATACAACTTAGTAGCTCCTCTGTAAAATACTTCAGTTTAATCCTGTTCAAGAGAAATTAAAAGTTATGGAAAGAGTATATTGCAGTAATTACTTTCTTTCTCTTTGTAAAAACCTTAAGCCAATTTAAGAAGATTTGGGGGCATCCTACATCTTTGATATCTCATGAGTCTAGGTTTTATGAAGTAGCAAAATCTCTTTATTAATTCATTTAAAACATAAAAATCTAATACTTTTATTTTAATTTGAGACTCAAGCCTCTATAGACTTTTCAAAAACTCAAACAAACACTTTTACTTACTCTTATGTAAAACCTTCATGTAGGGCAACATTTCAACTTCTGTGTTTCTAAGAAAAACAAAATCACCCTGGAAATCTCACCTCAGGCCCAAGAGATGACACAGTGGCTGGTTGGATAACTAACAAGGAAACTGGGCACAATAATCAGGTGACGGCCAGCCTGGTTAGGCTCAGTGACAACAGAACTCACTATGTAGACCAGACTGGCCTCAAACTCACAGCAATCCTCCTGCCTCAGCCTCCAGAGTGCTGGAGTTATAGGCATGCAGCACTATGCACAACTAGACTCCCATTTTATACAAGGCTTTATCGTTATATCTACAAAGGGCTTCTCACATTACTTTAGTTATTTTGGCCTTGCATGTTTCAGAGAAAGGGAGTTTATGAAAACCTAAGGCAATGGGGCGCATGCTATTGGTACTCACCTTAGTGTACTGAATCTTCCAGTCAGCAAGGGGAGAGGGTATGGCTGGTGTTGCTGAGGACATTTCTGGTTCTGCTCTTGGAACACGCACGGGTGAGGAGTTGGGCAATTTGATTCTGATATTGTACTTGGCTTACTGTGCTCCTTTTTATCTTCAGTGGATAAAATGTATTTGCATGCTGGGATATGATTCAGGGAAGAGACTGGGAGTTAGAAAAGGGGTGGGTACTATTTATTTGTACACCCAGAGTAGGAAGACTTTGACTCTAAGCTTAAATCCTTAAAAAACCAGGACTCAGGGACTGAAGTTGCATCTGGAGACAGGGCACTCTTTGCAGATGAACTAACTGATTTGCAGGGCTGAAGCCTGTGATGAGGATAGGAAGCACAGCTGCTCCGGCCACCAAACCCAGTTATTTTTATTGTTTCTTGCTTTTCATACTTGTTATGTTCCAGGGCAACTCTCCATCCTCTGACAGCCTTGGAACCAGAGAATCTGAGAATGGAAAGAGTCCGCAGGGGCACTTGTTCTCAGTAGAAGATGGGAAGGAAAGCAGCCCTATGCAAGTGTCTCAGATGAGACTGGCAGCAAATCAGTCCATCCCCAGAGAACTTGGACTGCGAGAGGGCACAAGAGCCCTGTAGGTGCTGCCCTATGCCAGCTTGCAAAACACCTAATCATTCAGGTGTATTCCAGTGCTGGGTGAGTGGGTCTACAGTGATTTCTGAGACTCTAGATTATATGTATTTTCTATGTGGATACAGAAAAGTCAGCAGGGCTCTCAGCACAGGCAGAGTACACTGACATACAGCACAGGGTCACTGCAATCAACCATGTGACAGTGTCATCTGTGTAAACTCATTTAAAACTATGGAGACCTCTGGTTCTGAAAGGTGTGTGTATTTATGGATCAGTGCTACAGAGAATCACACAAGAATTTTAAACAGGACTCTCAAAGAATTCCCATTCTTGGTGTTCAAGCTGGGAACTTTCAAAAATGACAATTTTAAAGGGAACCATTCTCATGTTAAGTACAAGCTTTATTGTGTGGAAGTTATAGTGAAAATTGTAATAAGAACAAGGTAAAATTCTTTGAATGCCATGATTATTGTGAATTATAAAAAAAAAATGTTTTATACTGAAATTACTAGCTTCCCAGAATATTGACTTTAGATGGGAAAACAAAATTACTGAATAGGTTTTCCAAATTGCATATGGGAATCTAGTTTTCTTTCCATCTTCAAGTGGAGCACCTATTCTGTAAACATAGAAAGAGGGAGTAACTTACATGCAGTCACACATCTAATAAATGCGAGAGCAAAATTTCGTGTCCTTTCCAGCCAGCCTGGTTTTAAAGCCCACGCGTTTGTTCACCGTGGCCCCTGCTCTGTAGAAAGAATCCCAGACAGGTTCTGGAGTCAGCTGCTTTGGTTCTTCCAGTGGAATCCTCACCCTCACAGCACTTATGCTTGACTGGGTTTCTGTTATGTCAGGACACACTTTTCGGTCAAGAGGCAGATACTAAACATCTTCAGGTTTGTGGGCCAGATGCCTTCTGTTACAGTTTCCTCTAATTTGTTCACAAGAAACTGTTGACAGTAGGTAATTTAATAAGTGTAGATATTTTTCCAAAAAGATTACTGTTATTATTTTAATAAAAAGCCAAAAGGCAGGGAGGATTTCGCAGCTAGCATGGGCCACTCCTCTAGATTCCAAGGCTATTCCGTGCCAAAGTCCTAGACTCCCCTGCACTTTACCCTTGAAAATCAGATAGAAAATTCTGTGACCTTTTGATGTTTCTCATTTTCTCTTGCAACTTTTTCTGCTCAGTCCAACTTTTTTCCATAAATGCGTTTCCAGTTAAATTTACAGCTCTACAGCAGCTGCTGCTAACCCTGCAGGGGGCTGCAGGCAGGCCCCAGAAGCTGTGGTTTGCTGCTTTCTTCTCCTCTCAGCTTCACACGTATTTGTGGATACAAAACTGGGTTTCAGTGTCCAGGCAGTGAGAACACTAGGCTTCAAAGACACTTGGGATTCCATCTCAGCCATCTCATTCTTGGATGAGCACATCTTTATTTGTCTGTTGTTGGATAATTATAGAAGAATAAGTTCTTAAAATAGGCATTACTGAGTTGTGCATAGTGAAGCATCCTTGTAATTCCAGCAACAGGGAAGCTGAGGCTTGTGGAACACTACTGTTTAATGCCAGCCTGATCTGTGTAGCAAAACTATGTCTCAAAAAAAGGAAAAAACAAAAGTAACACACACACACACACACACACACACACACGCACACACACGCAAACACACGCACACACACGCACACATACGCACACACACACACACACACACACACACACACACACACACAGAGGAACCAAAACAAATGAAAATACCCCTTAGGGAATGTAGGTAAAAGCACTAGCTTTACAGACAGGTCACCACACCTACACATTTAATTTCAACAAATATTTACTGAGCATTGCTTTTGCATCAATCATTCTTCAAACTTACTGTCACGTGGGCACTTAATTTCACTTTCTGCCTAGAAACCACAGTGCTTGATATCTACATTTCTGGGCAAAGTATTATGTGTCATTAATATTATCCTAGGAATAAGTATTGTATTTCTGGAAATGGTTACACAGGTGAAAAACTTTTTCTTTCTTTCACTCCTCACAGGAAAAAAACTGTTTTGGTGAGAATAGCAGGCCATGGAGTCAATCCCCAAGCCTGGATGGGGTTTTCTGGACTTGTATTGTATGAGAGTCTTAATCAGCAAGGGCTGTTTAATCGCCTTTCTCTGCTCAGAGAAAAATTAAATTACAAATAAAAAACACAGCATTCATCTCTAGTATGTGACTTTTTCCAGATCCTGGTGGAAGTTGTTATTTTAAACAGGGAATTCACTTCTACTGTCACTAAAACTGCTCTCTTTTTTTCACAGAAAGGCTCTGCAGACTCCATTCAACTCTCAGTCACTGACCAGATCACTATGTGCAGTTAATACATGAACAAGTAAACAAACCCATGAGCGAACAAAGGGCTGAATTAGCTGGGGAGTGAAAACACAGAACAACTGAGGAATTCACGAGTCATCCTTGTAAGCTGTCTGCTCCTGTCCAGGTCTGGGAAGAGAGGAGAGGAAGGCCCCGCACTCTTTGTTACCCAGTCAGTACGCTTGTTCTCTTAGTTCACTATTACACTTGCTGATCCCGATAGAGCACATGCTGATGTGCGTGCGTATGCATACATATGTGTGCGTGTGCATATGTGTGTGTGTGTGTGTGTGTGTGCATAGGTGTGTGTGTATGATGTGAGAGGTGCTGTGGGAGCTCTAAAGTACAGTCTTTGAAATCTAGAGTTGAGAGCTCCTTTGAAGTCTATTCAAACAGGGTTCAAATGCCCTTGTAGAAGTAACATACTCTCCTTGTACTTTAGTTCTCTTCATTGTATATTCTTCTCTTCCCTGTGTTGTTAGCAGAAATGGAAATTGTAGAGAATGCACCCTAACCTACACACACGTGTACTACCTAGAGACGTGTCTATGGGTCTCTAAGCGTAGCTCTCATTTACTATGAGAAAACACTTGGAGAGGTGGGGGGTTTAGCATCCCAGTAGAAATGCCATCATTAACATGGGCAGACAATTATCACAGCAGTGTCTTCTCAGTCTCAATTCTACTCTACGAAGGTAATTTCTTAGTATCCCATATTATTTACTTATGGCAGGATAGGGTTATTTGATACGAAATTATCCTTGAACTTCTTACGTGATTGCAATTATGGCTCAGTTAGTTTGGTACAGCTTTCTAAGTCTCTACATACTTCCCAAATTGCTTTGGAGGATTTGTGGAATCTTTTTATTTTGATATGTGGATACTGGATAAGGTTGCTCACAGATTTCTGTGTTATATTTGGCATTGAAATGACAGAAATAAATAGCTGAGCTGATTTTAAATGTTATACATCACAAGAATGGAAGTACTCCTTATTAGAAATGAACATCCAAAGAACAATAAAGAATCACCAGAAGATTTCTCTGGTGGGATATTGTTGCCACAGTGATGGAAAGACTGAAAAATATTATGCAAAAGAGGCTGTATTTTGCTTGGCTTGCAGTAAACAACAAGATGTGTGACCGTCTGTTCAATGTAAAAATATGAAATATTACAACCTTCATCTTGTCTTGCTCAGGACCATAGTTAATGCCATTCAGCCCAGGCTGTAAAAGAGACCTTCTTAAGGTAGAACCCAAGGCTCATGAAAGGCATGAGAGGTGAGTATGCTCTGTGAAACTGTTTGGAAACTTGCAAGTTTAAACAATGCGCTCAACTAAATATAGTGACTCTCCGCTGCAATTCACCAGGAGGTTGTCTTAGGAAAATAGACCATAGGAATGTAAGTAGGTAGGGAGGTAGGAGCTATTGGGCTTGAGAGGTTACTTAGAATTTCAGCTGAAACCCTGAGGTTTCATATTTATTGCCTTACAAAGAAGGTGTTAAACCACATGTGAAATTTGAGAGAGTTAACTAAAAGCAAATGATACAGTGATGGAAACTCTTACCTTCATCAGAAAGCTTAGCTTGGGTGATGGCAAGGAGAAATTAGAAGGATTTCTTTGGAGAAAACTATTCTTGAGAAGTCTGCATGGATTATAGTCCTTGAAGATATGCCTGTGTGACCTCATTTCATCACAGTCACTTATGTTAAACTCTTCTTCAAATACAAAATTTGAGGGAACACAAATCGGTCCATAACATGTTGTGTTTGGAAAATACAAATAATAGAGCTATCAGGTCTTATCCTCCTCTCTGTCCTACCCAGACTGAGTTGCAGATATTTTATGGATATGGAGAGAATAACTTTCCTTTTTTTTTTTTTTTTTTCGTACTGAGAATCAAACTCAGGACCTAACACCTGTTGTAGGTGCTGTGCCACTGAGTTATACCACCAGGCCAGAATACCTATCTAAAGAAATTCTAAAGAAATATTCATTTGGGTGCGGCCAAGCTTCTATGCAAATGCTGAGTTTGAATATCTCTGAAAAACCAACTGGACTGTCAAGAGCAAGAATGCATACACAAGAGCAGACCACAGCAGTGGTTTCTAATCACGAGCAAAGTACAGACAAACTTTTGCCAAGTCATAAGATACACCCTCTGTGGTTTAACAACCAATGTAACCCTTATTCCAGGCAGAAACCTTGGTAACCATACCTTATCAGCAGGTTTTTTTTCAGTTTTGTAGTCTTGTGCTCTGACCAGAGTCTCCCATACAGAACAGTGTAATGCATTTCAGGTCTAGTCTTTCAGAACATACCTCTGAACCTTTCCAAACTCTTCCCACAGCCATTTCCAAAGGCTCTTGAAACACGTGGTCAGGTATAGTTACACAAGCACCCCCAATACTCTGGTACCAAATTCTATCTTGATTACTTTTCTCTTGGTTCTGGGAGAAAAATGTATAACACTCAAAATTAAGGAAAGAAATTATTTAGCTCCCAGTTTGTGAAAGTTTCAGCCCGTTATTGGCTGGCTCAAAAGCAGGACAGCATGGCACATGGGCAATATTTCAAGGTGGCAAAGACAGCAAGCAACAAGTGCAAAAGAGGGCCAAAGGGGTGCACTATGCTTCTTTTCCTCCCTTATATTGTAAACAGGCTACACACCTTGGGGGAATGTATCACTCACATCATCAATATGCCCTCCTCTTGCACAGGCTGAGGATGTTGACAAAGAAGGACCCATGTGAGTCAGTTAAACTTCTGAGCTTTTCAAATTGACACAATGAACAATGTCCTAGAGAGGTGATGCTGAGTTCTCTACACCTCAGGATGAAAAGTTGCTGAGCTACTTGGTTAAGCTTCTAGACTTTTCAAGTTGAAACAATGTATCAACCATAACACAAAGTGTTATAGTTTATGTCAGTGATTCCTCCCCCCACCCCCAAGCCTCATGCAATCATGGACATGGGTAAATGTAGCTTTTGTGATTGGTCTGTATCTCTAGCACTGGGATTGGTGGTATGAGTGCTACACTGCCCAGGAGTGGAATCAGCATACAGTGTAAGAGCGGGACGAAGGCATCTCTCTCTCTTACAGGTTCATGCTTTTGCTGTTTGCAGCCTCCACGAATGGCCTTTGTGCTGTGTCACACTGCCTTGGAACCAACTGAGTATGGACTGAAACCTCCAAGAATTGTAAGAAATAAACCTTTCCTTCCCTAATGTTGGGCGTTAGGTATTTTGTCTCAGCAACAAGAGAAATGTAGCCAAAACAAAGGGTTAAAGAAGAGGGAAACATGAAAAGGACATGGATGTATCTGTAAGCAGGTTACACGAGGGGCCATGTGATGCTGGACAAGTTCTGAGCCTTGGCTGTAATGATATTTGTGTTCTGGTTGTGATATTCTACTAGAGTTTTAAAAGATGTTACCTCTGCTGGAAACTTGGTTCTATTGCTAATTACCACATGCTTATCTATAAATATCTAAAAGGATAATGTCATTTCAACCTCAAGAAATTTGACATTCATTTTAAGGTTCCTCTTTGATTAATTTAGGTTTTATGGCTTAATGTTGGATTCATAATTTTTATATTTTATCTTCAAACTGTCCGTCTGGTTTTATATTTCAGCCAAATATGATCTTCATCACATGCACTGAGGGCTTTCTGACATTGACTCCTCCCTGTCAGGCTAGAGAGCTCCTTCTGCTTCATTTGCACACGTTGGATCCTAACTGATGTCAAGGTCAACCCAAGTGCTACCCATGTCATGATGTCCTCCAATGAAAAGCCATTTGGTCCTTCCAAACAGTTATAGACTTTTTGGTGTTATCAATCTTATGATATTCTTTGCATTTTGTATTTTATTTCTTAATTCTGTATGTATGTTTCATCTTTTCTAGAAGATTTAAATGTTCTTAGAGGAGGATTTTTCCTTTTTTATGTAAAGGAAAAAAAAACTCTAAATGTCACCTACAATTGTGCTTGCACAGAAAGAGGATTTTAACACTAATTTTTTTCTTTTGCTGCTTTCAGTATTTTGAATTTTCACCGACTGCTACATAAACATGAGAACTCTTTTAATATTTGTAACTAAATTATTAGGACACTGACCTTCCTGATGATGGAAACTAATTTGCATTTTGGGATGATTTGCATAAACTATCAGGTGGAATTTCAGTTTTTAATTAATGAGAAATGAGTCCCAATAAATAAAGTAGAGAGAAATGACAGAATTGGGCAGGCATATCATCTCTTATTAAAAAGACAAACAAAATACAATAAAAAGCATAATGTGACAATGCACGTTGAATTTAATCAAATTTTAGTTAAATGTCCTCAGCGTCACACGGAATAAAAGTAGCAGCACAAAATTAGGACTTAGAATGTAACAGTGTTTAGCTAGACTCCGCCTCTAGTTATTTAGTAGTATTTCAGTGTCATTTGATTACTCAGTGTCCCTGTGAAACAGTTATTGGGCTGGAAGATCACCCTGACATCTCTGGTTGCACTGCTTGGGACAGCTACACAATGGACAGAATTGCTAAGCCCTGTGCCTGTCAGTCCACTAATCCCATTCAATCCATGTGGGCTCAATCCATGTTGGCCTGAATCACTGGGTGGCCAGCATCACTGTGAGCACCTGTGCTGCTTGGGTTTGCTTTTCATGTCGTCCTGCTGTCTCTGTGGTGACTAGCAACTCTGGTGAAATGCAGCTGAGTTCATTTAATTAGAACAAACCATACTGTAGCATTACATGCTGTCTTCGTTACTTTACTCGTCGCTGAGACAAAATACCTGAAGCCCAAAGTTGGGAAAGGAAAGCTTTATTTCTTACAGTTTTTGGAGGTTCCAGTCCACACTCAGTTGGCACCAAGGCAGGCAGGCATGGCTGGGCCACAGTTCATGGGGGCCGCCAACAGCAAAACAGGAACCAGCAAAGAGCAAGACAAACCTTCTTCCTGCCATTACATCACATCCTGGCTCCACCCCTATGTGGGTGGAGCACTGACACCATGAGTCCAAGCACTATACAATGAAGCATCACAAATGCACAATGCAAACTTATGAGGCCTGGGGGACACAGACATAAAACATGACACATGCATTTGATATCTTTTGGTTTTGTTTTGCTTTGCCTTTTTTTGAGACAGAATTTTGCTGTGCGGTAACGTTGGCCTTGAACCTATTTGGAGTCAAAGTTAATGGATTTGACTTTCTGACCTCAAATCACAACCGACGACGTTTTAGCTCATATTGTGCTCTACCTTGTTCTTTCTTTAGTAGCTAATTTTAACCTTTATCTGAAGAGAATGATTTTTATTTAAATAGGATGGAAGGGAGAGGAAATAATCACAACTATGATGGGGTCCTACCTGTGGTCAGCCTAGCATTTTAAAAAAAGTCTGAGAGAACATGTAAGAAAGATGCTATGGCAGACTCAAGTGGAAGAAGCTGTTGTCTATAAAGAAAGGTTATTTCTAGTGAAACATTTACTAGTCCTAAGACACTTATTAAGTAAATGAATAACATATATAAGGCAAGTGTTCTCTAGGAGGCTTGATAAGTTTTTGTGAACCTTAATTTAATAGAATAATTCAATTAGATAGGTGTTGTTATTGATTTATTTACACATAAAATGTTGGAATTTAGCAGAAGTATGGTGTAATTTGTCTAGAATTCCAAGGTCAGTGAGTGCAAAATAGGAATTTGAACTCCTATGCCCTGGCTCCAAGAATGCATGCTATTAGATAAAACATTTACTGATTCTCAAATATCCAGGGCTATCATGACTTGCTAATTTATTGCCATAGGAGAAAAGTTTAATAATTGACTCATGTTTGTACTGATAGTGAGTGGCAGAAAAACAAGTTTTCACTTATTTGACTTCAAAGTTCAGGATCCTTCTAACTACCACAGACATACTTTGAAAGAAAGTACCAATGCTATGTGACTAAGGGATTTGTAACTAATTGATTTTAAGATGTCATCAGAGTGCAAGTGACTTGTTATGGGAAAGTAGCAATAAAATTAGAGTGTAAATCAAAGTGGCAAATGCAGTGTTATGATGAAACACACAGGAGCGGACACTTAGATTTCAAGGGAACCTTATTTTCCACACTGGCCCAAAAGAGAAGGCACAATTTTTCAGGTTTCAAAACCACAATAAAGTCTTGTTTCTTTTCTAGCACAATTTATTCTGGACATGTTTGTAACCTAAAGCACTTGTATATCAAAGCAAATTTCTCAAGAAGAAATGATTGGGACACGTAATTTATTCCACAACTCAAAAGGATTTATGTAATATTATTACACTAGTATAATAATAATAAAGAAATATAAACTAAAAAGAAAATAAACAAATTCATCTGAACTTACTTGTGAGAGCCTTCGTGTGTGGTGTGAGGGAGAGGAGAGGAGGTTAACTTTTTAAGACAATTTTCCCTATCAGTAATGGAATCATTGTTATCTCCTGGCTCAAGGGAATCTTCCTCTTTGTGCACTTTAATAAGGAACCAATCCAATGCCATTTATTTATGCCTTCTTTTGAGGATTTGGTGGAAACACGACTCTGCATTGTTAAACAGGTTCATTGCTTGGCCCTCTGCAGTCACAGGTGGTGCCCTCCTACAAAACTGTGCACTATTTGCTGCATTTTACAAAATTCCCTAATCTCGTTTGTAGTGAGAGATTTCTCTGCCTTTCTGTCCTGCAGATTTGATCTCCTCGCAGTCCTGCAGAGAGGTGGGGGGAGGGGGGAAGAGAGAAAGAAAGATAAGAAGACAGAGAGAGACAGAGACAGAGACATAGAGAAACAAACCATAGGCTCAGTTGTGAAAATGTGGCATTTGAGGTCACATGCCACTCCTGTGGCAAGCTTTGCCTCATTCATAAAGTTAACATTTATTACAAATATTTGCTCATCTTGCAGAACACTTGTAGAACAAGTTACAATTCATGGTTTTCATGCATTCTTGTCTAGTTTGCATAAAAGATGACAAGTGAGAATCCAACACTGAGTAGAAATATTTTCTTTAAAGCCCTCAGAGCCCTTTTGGCTGGATATTGTCAGCTCATTAGCTCAGTGTGGTGTGTTTCCTGTACTTACCTCCTAGGCCAAGATCATGTGGCTAACCTACCTGAATATTAAATGTGCTTGGAAATTGTGTTCCTATTACTACTCTACAAGGAGACATAAAGAAGTAATGACAGCCGAGTGCAGAATGTGATTATGCATTAACTTTCTGACGGTGAGGAGAAGTGCAAAGAAGGCATTTCCTTGGATGCCTAGGGAACATTGTACATAGGTTGATTGTTAGGCAGGTGCTGGTGTCTTGTCAATGTTCAGGTTTTCGATTAGATAATTCCACAGTCATGTTGTGAAATAATGTTATTTGTAGAAACCATATTAATCATTTTTGGCTAAAAGGACATGATATTTACAAGTGTGTCTCAAAGGAAAAATGTATCTGTATCAATAATGGGAGCAATAAAATCAAATGAGAATAATAATAATGATTAGAAAATAAAAATATACAGTTCATTATCTCATCTTCTTTAATAGCTTGAGGTTAATTTAAAAGAAAATACTGTAAAATCAGTTTACACTGTAAACCCCCATCCCCCCCCCCTTTTTTTTTCTTGGTACCTGGGATCAAGCTCACCACCTTATGCTTACCAGGCAAGTGCTTAGGCCACTGAGCTAAACCCCAAGACCACAAATCCATCTTTTAAAAATATTTAGTTAATTTTTCTAGAGCCAATGAATCTTTAAACAACTTGAATAAAAGGAGACAAACAAAAATCCTAAAATACTGATGAAATGACTTCAGAGCGGCACAATGTCAGTGAAGTATGAAAATTTCTATACATCGGAAACCTGAATTTGAAAAGAATTCTAAATTTTTGCAAATGTGTTAAGCAGATCATGCCAAATTAAGGTTAAAAAAGCATCACTGTTTCTTTAGTGTTGCTAGTTTGTGAAGTGGTAATGATGACTTTTTAATGATTTGCTACTTATCCTTGATGTTTAGGATAGGACTATTTTGGGGGAATAAACTCACTTCCCAGAAGTCAAAGGCCATCTAAAATTCTTGGGATAGATGTGTAATTTCCTCACAGGTAGCTCTGTGGTGTTCACAGAAATGTCTTCTTTACTCTCTCACAGAAGGAAAGAGTGATATTGAGCTGTTTTCCCTCACTTGTGTCTTGACTCAGGATCTTGTTTTGTGAAATGTCACAGTCATGGTGAGCTACAACATAAAACTTTCATGGTGTCCAACAGACACTGAACTTAGGTTTCTCAGGAATTTAGTTACTGTAGAAGAAACTGAGTGCAACAGAAAATGCACCCCACACCTGCAGCCAGTGGACTTCAGTTCCTTAGTTGCTCAGGTAAAAGTTCCTGTTACAGTTCCTGTATTGTGGTCTCCTAGAAAGTGCTGGTCAGTGTGATGCATGTTACAAGAATCAGTCAAAGACAGCAATGTGCTCTGCCTCTGTCTTTCTCTTTTTAACCCTTTAAAGCCTCCCTTTCTGGGCATTTGAGGCCTGACATTTAGAGGGTCAATTGTTTCTGTCACTGCCTGTGAAGGTAAAAGAAACCTATCTCCAAATCCTTGGTGCCATTTCAGTGTTTCAGTTCCTGGTACACTATCAATTCTGAATCAACTTCCTATGTATGTTTCCAAATCAAAATGAAAACTCAAGTGCATCTCCAGAGATTAAAAAAAAAAAAAAATCACAGGATAAATGTATAAATCCTTTTGAGTTCGGCATTTTTTTTTGAATTAGATAAAAAATAGTGAAAATTATATACCTTGTTTTAGGTGTATTTGAATTTAGTTCAAGAATTTGAGAAAAAAATGTCTTCCTACTTTGAATTGTCTATTTAAAAATAAATCCAGAATTATATTTTCAGAAAAAGAGAAAGAGAGAAGAGAAAGAAAGTGACAGATAAACAGAGTGACAGAGAAAGAGAGAGAAGGCGACAGAGAGACAGACACACAGAGAGAGGAGGGAGACAGGGAGAGTGGGGGGGAGAGACAGAGAGACAGAGAGAAAGACAGAGACAGAGAGAGAGAAAGAGGGAGAGGCTTACTATAGTGAACATTTGAGAATGTGTGTTCAGACTTGATTTTGTCCCAACCTGAACAGTGAGTTCAATTTTCTGTTGCTTAGTTTAGTATTTTTTGAAGATGAGTATATTTTCCACCATGTGGAGCTGAGATGAGATCATATTTGGATGGCAAATTATACATGGACTGATAGGTACTCTTTAATTTTTCAAGGTTTTAAGGAT